GCCTGGTTATTAACCTGAGTGAGTGTACTGGCAGTCTATAATGTAGACTGTAACCTGGTTCTTAACCTCGGAGAGTGTGCTGACAGTCTGTAATGTAGACTATAGCCTGGTTATTAACCTGAGTGTACTGACAGTCTATAATGTAGACTGTAACCTGGTTCTTAACCTCGGTGAGTGTACTGGTAGTCTATAATGTCGACTGCAGCCTGGTTCTTAAGCTGGTGAGCGTATTGGCAGTCTATGATGAAGACTTTAGCAATGGTTATTAAACTGAGTGAGCGTACTGGCAGTCTATAATGTAGACTGTAGCCTGGTTCTTAACCTTAATAAAATAAAAATCTAACCCAAAAAAACTCTGCATCAGTGGCGGCTTGTGCCATATCTACGAGGTGGGGCTGTTGTGAGTGACCTCTGTAAATCTGGTGCTGTAATTAAGAAAAAAAACCCTCGTCATGTTATTGGCCTTCCCATGGAAGTGATATAACTGCCTTATCTACCAACGGTAGACATTTGTAGACAATACGAAACGAAACAACAAAGCACTCAGATGCTGTCCCCATGACCTTCAACTCCACACGACGCAACCGCTTTAACACTGCCAAAAGCGTAGAGGCGTGCAGAGTGTAGACCGTGACTTGCTGTATTGTCACGGTGCCACCTCGCATCGTGACATCGTCACTGCAGTCACGGGCGCCTTTTTCACCGCCCTGAACGGTCTCAAACGGCGTGGCGACAACGCTTGAAGCTCATCGCGACGAACGAAGAAGGGGAAATCTCTCGCTCGGAGGACGAGACCTCCCCGAGGCACAAATCAGACTGCGGCGTTGCAGCCGTTTCTAATACGTGGGGGGGGGGGGGGGGGGTGGTGGCACGCGCCCCCCCCAATGATTCGATCGAAATACCCAATTTCGATCGGATCAATGGAGTTTATTAGTAATACATCGGCATTTTGCGACCCCCACTGCCACTGTGTAGCATATTATTATATGCCAGGGACTCTATGGGATGATAGGACAATAGTCTGATTCCATAATTGGCAATAAGTAACGGCAAAGCAGTTGTAAGTGACTCACAGAATTGTGCACAGTTGCGTCTACAGTCCACGACTTCCCTGAAAGCATCATTCACCTTCAGCGAGCGCGATGCCGATCACACAACGCGGTTCGAATTCGACCCCTCGATCGATGGCTGCGCCATCACCGCACACGCGTCGAATAAAAAGCCAGGGACAAGTCCTTACTTACTAACAACTCCTTACTTACTAACAACTCCTCTTCAATTTTTCATTGCTGGAGGGGTTGCCCTCCCTACCTGAAAATCCTGGCTCCGCCATTGCTTAAAATGTTATCTTCATTAGGCAATGCGCGTTGAAGAATCATTATATATTTATATTTTAAAAAAACCTTTAACATAACAAAACAATTTACAGAAAAGTTTTTTTTTTATTAGAAAAAGTATTTCTCATCTCCAGCTGCTGGGTGGAGCGGCTCCCCACAACGCCCCAAGTGGACGAACCGCGCCTGATCTGCATCATGGGTTAGACGTTAGAGCTTTGCCCCTTCTTCAACACGGTGGGTTTCTCCGGGTCCTCTTCCCAGCCAAAGCAAAGCACTCGTTGTTGAAACTCAAAGGTAGAGCGCGAGCGCCTCGCAGTACAGAAGGTTGCGAGTTCAAATCCTGGTTGGGGGGGAGTTCACTCAGCCCATCATCCCTAACCTACCCCAGGGTCAATAAATTAAATACCACTTTATGGGCAAGTCAACACTTTCTGGATAGACTGTCCCGCGTCACGGGGATGTGGAATTTCCACCACTGGCTCTGCAGGGATCTTAGACAGCAGATGATCATCAATGCCTCAACGCTGATCGTTTGAGCAGCAGCTGATCACTTGGACTGGAGTCTGATTTTTTCGTATGACTTTTCAAGAGCAGGGAGCGCTGAACAACATCACCGGGGTCGTCTCCCGCGAGAGTTTTTTTAATCTCCGTTAATTTAAAGAAGGGAAAAAGAAGACTGAAGTTACAGCAGAACCCCTCTTAACGACGGCGATTGGTTCCACGAAACCGGCCGTTAAGTGATTTGGTCGTTAAGCGAGTATAGGAAATGCAGTCACACCAAGAACTCTAGAGAGACGTTTCCACTTTCAATGCCCCCCCCCCATCCCAAGGTCATGAATGAATGGGGACGTCGCTGATTGGCCGAGGCATGGTCAAAACCGCTTTGGGGCTCGCCGATTGGCCGAAATTTCCAGTCGCGTGCTCGTCGCGAGCCCGTCGTTAACAGGGGAATGGTCGGTAAGCGAACACTTTGGGCTCTATGGAGGTCCGCCGTTAAGCGATTAGTCGTGAACAGGGGTGGTCGTTAACAGAGGTTCTACTCTACACTACTATACATGACACTACTATACACTACACTATACACTACACTATAACATTACACTATACAACTACTATACACTACACTAAATATACTACACTATACACTACACTATACACTACACTATACACTACACTATACAATACACTTTAACATTACGCTATACAACTACTATACACTACACTAAATATACTACATTATACTATACACTACACTATAACATTACACTATACAACTACTATACACTACACTAATTATACTACACTATACATTACACTATACACTACACTATGAACTACTATACATTACACTATACACTTCACTATAACATTACACTATAAAACTACTATACACTACACTAAATATACTACACTATACACTACACTATACAACTACTATACACTATACTATACACTAAACTATGCACTACTATACATTACACTATACACTACACTATAACATTACACTATACAACTACTATACACTACACTAAATATACTACACTATACACTACACTAAATATACTACACTATACACTACACTAAATATACTACACTATACACTACACTATACACTACACTATAACATTACACTATACACTACACTAAACACACTACACTATACACTAGACTATACACTACACAATTATACATGACACTACTATACACTACACTAAATATACTACACTATACTATACACTACACTATGTACTACTATACATTACACTATACACTACGCTATAACATTATACTATATAACTACTATACACTACACTAAATATACTACACTATGCACTACACTAAATATACTACACTATACACTACACTATGTACTACTATACATTACACTATACACTACGCTATAACATTATACTATATAACTACTATACACTACACTAAATATACTACACTATGCACTACACTAAATATACTACACTATACTATACACTATGTACTACTATACATTACACTATACACTACACTATAACATTACACTATATAACTACTATACACTACACTAAATATACTACACTATACACTACACTATGCACTACACTAAATATACTACACTATACACTACACTATGCACTACTATATACTACACTATACACTACACTAAATATACTACACTATACACTACACTAAATATACTACACTATACACTACACTATACACTACACTATAACATTACACTATACACTACACTAAACACACTACACTATACACTAGACTATACACTACACAATTATACATGACACTACTATACACTACACTAAATATACTACACTATACTATACACTACACTATGTACTACTATACATTACACTATACACTACGCTATAACATTATACTATATAACTACTATACACTACACTAAATATACTACACTATGCACTACACTAAATATACTACACTATACACTACACTATGTACTACTATACATTACACTATACACTACGCTATAACATTATACTATATAACTACTATACACTACACTAAATATACTACACTATGCACTACACTAAATATACTACACTATACTATACACTATGTACTACTATACATTACACTATACACTACACTATAACATTACACTATATAACTACTATACACTACACTAAATATACTACACTATACACTACACTATACACTACACTATAACATTACACTATACACTACACTAAACACACTACACTATACACTAGACTATACACTACACAATTATACATGACACTACTATACACTACACTAAATATACTACACTATACTATACACTACACTATGTACTACTATACATTACACTATACACTACGCTATAACATTATACTATATAACTACTATACACTACACTAAATATACTACACTATGCACTACACTAAATATACTACACTATACACTACACTATGTACTACTATACATTACACTATACACTACGCTATAACATTATACTATATAACTACTATACACTACACTAAATATACTACACTATGCACTACACTAAATATACTACACTATACTATACACTATGTACTACTATACATTACACTATACACTACACTATAACATTACACTATATAACTACTATACACTACACTAAATATACTACACTATACACTACACTATGCACTACACTAAATATACTACACTATACACTACACTATGCACTACTATATACTACACTATGCACTACACTAAATATATACTATATACTACACTATGCACTACACTAAATATACTACACTATACACTACACTATGCACTACTATACACTACCCAACTATACACTACGTCACTGACGTACCGCTGACACGTCTTTGCAATTACGTCGTCGGAAAAACCGATTCAGGGATCGACGGCGTCGAACATAATAAAATAGGAACCGATCCGATTCCCCGATACGGTATTCCGATGGGTGAATCGAATCATTGCAATTCTCTTTCGATTCCATCTCCTCCCTCGTAGGAATCGACTCTAACCAAAACAAGAAAAAATGAATCGTTCCAACCTCTGATTCATGTAAACTCTGTTTAAAAAACAAACGCCCTAGGGGCATTTCTATCATTGACCCTCCATGCTCGTCACCCACACTGTTGTATCCGCTAAGCGCCCTCGGGGCGTTTGTGATTCGCAACTTGTTTCGGGTATACCGGTGCGTGGCACACACACATGGGCTGGCTGCTCGGGGTGAGGCCTCAATGCTGCCCCGGCTCCGCGTTCTGAGCTCCCCGCTCCGTCTCCTCTCGGCTGGGCCCCCGCTCCCGCCTCGCTGCATCAGCGGCGGCAGAGCAGCAGCGACGGCGACGCCATCGGGCACCATGGACCGCGTGCGCGTGAGACGCGTGGACGGCGAGGACACCATGACCGTCGCCTTTCCCTGGGGGGACGAGGGAGACAAAGGCGGCCGGCGCCAGGTGCAGCGGTCGCAAGCGGAGGCGCTGAGCCGGGCGCTGGCTCGGATAGCCGGCGGGAACAAGAAGGACAAGAAGACGGCGCAGGCCTTGGCCAAGAAGCGGAAGGGGAAGAAGATCGGCGAGATGACGGGAGAGGGGGGGCGGCAGCAGCAGGGGCAGCAGGGGCAGCAGCAGCAGCTAGAGGCGAGGCTCCTCTACCAGGGCTACCCCGTGGACCCGGCCACCCCGAACGTGGCAGCGTGGAGAGACGGCGCCGTGCTGGAGATCGGCGGCCGCCGCTTCGCCGTGGACGTGAACGTGCCCGCCGTCACCTCGCTCTCGCTGCCCGCGGCCATCATGGCGGGCTTCCCCGTCTTCCCCACGGTCGAGGTGGAGTTCGGGAACGCCGCCGCCGCCGAGCTGCGATGGTCGTTGGAGGACGCCGGCGAGGGGGAGAAGGAGGAAGGCGAGGCGGCGGCGCCGGCGGCGGCGGCGGCGGCGGCGGAGGAGGAGGGAGTGCTGGAGGTGGTGTGCCGGGACGCGGTGTTCACGCCTCACGCGGGGCACGTGGGCAAGAGACTGCGGCTGCGATGCGTCCCCAAGGATGGAGAGAGGTGAGGGGGGGGGTTGGTGAGGGGGGGGGGGGGTTGGTGAGGGGGGGGTTGGTGGGGGGGGGGGGGGTTGGTGAGGGGGAGGGTTGAGTTGGTGAGGGGGGGGGTGAGTGTGTGTGTGTGGGCTCGAGGTTCGCTTTAGAGCAATGTGTTCTTCACTGCAAAGCCCACGGGCCACTGGCGGCCCCCACAAGTGAAAACACCCCCATCATCATTATCGTGCTGCTGTCAAACCCCCAATGGTTTTAAATGGTGTGGCGGCCCTCACACTGATGATGTTAAGGTTTCAGTGGGGGCTGATTTAGTGGTCAGGGTATGGTTGGATGGTCAGGGTATGGTTGGATGTTAAGAAATGACTTGGGGTGAGCGGTGTGGGTTGAGGATTAGGATGTGGACTCGTGGTTAGAAGTCGTCATGTAGATTAGGGGTCAGAGGTTACGGTATGGGATAGGGTAGGAGTTGGTGCGCACAGCCCTCCCATCATTCCCTGCCTCCCTCCCACCCTCTCAATGACAAACACGTATCGGGGAGGCCTTCGCCCATCCAGCAGTGGATCGATCGTGGCCGACGTTTGGCCATGTGATGACGATGGCTGACAAGATCCCAATTGATGCCCCCCCCCCCTCCCCCCCCCCCTCCCACTTCCTGGTCATCTGCTCAGGTGCGGGGACCCCGTGGAGGTGACCTCGCCGAACCTCGTCCAGGCCGGGCCGGGCCCGTGCCTCTGCGACGCGCGTCACGCCTACACGAGGCTCCCCGTGGGTCGCGGCCGCCTGCGTGCCGTCTCCTACAACGTGCTCGCCGACGTGTACGCGCAGACGGAGGTGGCGCGCTCGGAGCTCTTCCCCTACTGCCCCGCGTACGCGCTCGGCCTCGACTACCGCCAGAACCTCCTGCGCAAGGAGCTGGCCGCCTACAACGCCGACGTCGTCTGCCTCCAGGAGGTGGACAAGAACGTGTTCGCGGACGGGCTCAGGCCCGTCATGGAGGCGTTTGGCATGGAGGGTGGGTTGGCCGCGTGGGCGTCGCAGAGTGGCGCTGCGGATGGGCCCCGACACCGGGACGCGGGGACGCGGGGGGGGTGGTGGCGACGCGTTCGCCGGTTGTCGCAGAGGTTCGCGGTTCGAATCTGGCGCGTGCCCCCCCCGGGTTAATGCCGCGGTGCGGTGCTGGTGGCCGTAACATCCCACGCGCGCCGCCCGCTTCGCCGTGGACGGTAAAAGATCCCGTTGGCCTCATCAAATCAGAATTGTAGAAAAATACCCGCGATTTCCCGGACTCGGTCGGGATCGCGCACGCAGGAGCTGTCATCGCTCGCTATTGGCAGCAGACTAATTCACACTCGCAGGCCCCAGTGCCGAAATCACCTTACGGGGACAGCTGCCACTGAGGGGTGCGTGCCCCTCGCATGTTTGACATGAGATGTGTGAGGCGCTTTGTGTTGCTGAGGCATTTAAGCACCAAATAAATTCGATTTTTTTATTATAATTCACAACTTTGGGGGGGGGTAGCTGGAGATGTCAAGGTAATGCGGTTGGTGTGGTTACCTGATTATGATTCTGTGACCCCTGACACTTGACTCCAAATTATTGCCATCACGAGCTTCATCTGCACGTCCGATTAACGCGGCTGTTTCGTGCGGCGCGGAAGAAGTTCACCATACACACGTACATCTTAATCTATTATGATCCTAACTCTGACGCCCACCCTAATCCTAGTCCCTAACCCCTGACGTCCGGCCGGTTGGCTCAGCCGTCGAGTGAAGGGCTCGCAGTTGAATCGACACGAGTTCACATCCTGGTTGCGGAGTTGACTTGTCCCATCATGCCTCCGGGGTGAATAAAATAATCATTTTGTGGGGGAGTCAACGGTGGTTGTCCTATGAAGAGACCCCCCCCCCCCCCCCTCCATCATAGGAATGTGGAATTTCCACCACTGACCCGGGGCTGTAAACAATGCTCAATAGTATTCTATAGCCTTTTGTCAATCCACTGCTGGATGAATGTCTCATCAAGTCAATAGCTGCTGCATTTAAAAAGTCTACATGACTCCTACCATCACTACTAATACTACTACACAGCCCTAGCTTTGTCTACTGTTGGATGAGGGCCTCCGTACACTTCTGAAAAATAAGTGAATACCTCGGCGGGCTTTGCCTGGTAGGATGGGGATGGTTTGTTTACCGTTCTTGTACTGTGGACGACTGTCATATTTTTGTATTTGTTGTTGTAACGTTATTACCCGCCCCTCCTGGAAATCTGTGAAAGAGCTTTATAGCTCATCGGATTCCCCCAGTGTCAATAAATATTATTTTTCTGATACTGGACCACACTGGTCCGTGCAGGTTGGTGAAGGGAGAGGTGCCCTCACCGGATTAAAGAAAATACTCTTCCAACTGGAAGTCAGACCATGACGGGTGCCTCTACTTTGACTGACCGCTAGGAATTTACCGCATGAAGGAGCGTCAGAAGGAGGGGCTTGCCACGTTCTTCCGAAGCGACCGCTTCCGCCTTGTGTCGCGGCACGACGTGACGCTGGCCGTCGCGCTGCAGGGCGACCCTGCGCACGAGGAGCTGCGTCTAGCCCTCCAGAAGAACCCGCGGCTCTACCGTGTGCTCACACGACTCGCCACGGAGCTGCAGGTACCAGCACCACGGGCCCGTGCGGTGGCGGGGGGTGACGAGGGTTAGGGAGAGGATGTGGTAATGTGGGGGTTGAGGGTCTGGTCACGTGATTTTTTTTGTGGGTCAGTTTAACACGTAGGCTTTCGCGACCAATATTATTCATAATAAAGGTTTTTGGGTTAAATCGCGTTATTTATAAATGTGTCGTAACCCTCCACCACCCGACACGGCCAATCGGCAAAAAAGTGTCACGTTGACAAAAGACAATTAGTTCACTACTTTAGCCCACCGGTGTGTTGAAGAGTGAATCCACAACATTTACAGTTTGAATACGTTTCGCTGGTAATTACATCCAGCATCATCGGGCAATTCGCCAGAATGGTAAAGCCCTCACTTGCTCTCGGTCTTAAATAGAGCAGCAGGGTGACGTCATCATTTAACTCATTTCAGGTGCAGTGATTTGAGGCGGAGGGGGGGGGGTATTGTAATTATATAATCGATTGTTGACAAGCATGTTCTGCCACTGCCGACAGTTGTTTGAGATAATTTAATATTTTTTTGGTGTTTTTTAGTCTTATACTGATGTTACGTCCCGTCTGTCCAATATAGGATTTGCCACATAAACAATTAATCCGATATACACCTTCTGCTGATAATTTAGGTAATTCGTCTTTAGTGCAAGATACTAGTTTTAGAATTTTGTGAACTGTACCAAATCTTACTGTAATGTTTTGCTTTTGCAAAACACGGGCTAATTTGTCAGTTACTCCTGAGATATATGGAATTTTAATTGTTTTAAGAATCTGATCGCTTTCAGCAGTGTTGCTTTGCGATCGTGATTTGGTATTCAGTGCTCTGTTAATTTGAGTATTATTGTAGCCATTCTGTCGTAATGCTTCTTTAACGTGTTTGATCTCTCTCACTAGACTCTCACCATCTGACACTGTTTTAGCCCGATGTATGAGCATCTTAATAAGAGAGGATTTCTGAGCTGGATGATGATATAATCACAATAACACACATTACAACTAATCATAACCATTGACTGATTACCAATCGATTATATAATTACAATACCCCCCCCCCCCCCCCCCCCGCCTCAAATCACTGCACCTGAAATGAGTTAAATGTTGACGTCACCCTGCTGCTCTATTTAAGACCGAGAGCAAGTGAGGGCTTTACCATTCTGGCGAATTGCCCGATGATGCTGGATGTAATTACCAGCGAAACGTCGTATTCAAACTGTAAATGTTGTGGATTCACTCTTCAACACACCGGTGGGCTAAAGTAGTGAACTAATTTTCTTTTGTCAACGTGACACTTTTTTGCTGATTGGCCGTTACGGGTGGTGGAGGGTTACGACACATTTATTAATAACGCGATCTAACCCAAAAACCTTTATTATGAATTTTTTGTGGGTTGTGGATATGTTGTGTTGTTGTGATGGTGTGGAGACGCCGGGGTGTGGTGATTCCACGGTGTGGAGTCACCGGGGTGTGGTGATAACACGGTGTGGAGGCACAAGTGTGTGCTTCTGTGCTGATCTGTGGATGTCCCCCACAGGTGTCTGTTCTGCAGTCGCTGGAGGACGAGCGCAGGAGGTTGATAGTGGCCAACACTCACCTCTATTGGCACCCCAAAGGTGAAGCCCCTTACACACACCGCACAGGGCGTGCGTGGTGAAGCCTGCGGAGCTTTGGTGAATTTATTCGTCTGGTTATGAACGCTGTTATTGTTGACAACGTCCATCGCCCCCCTCCCCTCGTGTAAAATATAAACAATCCCCACTGGAGGACATTTTTTTACAGTGAGAGGCAGCACCTGCAGTGGCTGCAGGGGTCAGGTGAACCTCGTACGTACCACATGTGCCATCGAGACACCCCAAAGGTGAGGCCCTTTACACTACGTGTGCGCGCGTCCGTTGCAGGCTCCCACGTGCGTCTCATCCAGGGCGCCGTCGCCCTGCGCCACCTGGAGCTGCTGGTGTCCTCGCTGGCACCGCCCGCCCCCGCTGCACCGCCGCCGCTCCTCTTCTGCGGAGACTTCAACAGCTTCCCCTCGTCGGGCCTCGTCCAGCTGCTGACCACTGGCCACGTCGGCGCCAGCCACCCGGACTGGAGCGCCAGCACGGTGCCGGCCGAAGACGACGATGGGGCGGAGGAGACGGAAGCCGGTGCTGCTTCTTCAAACGAGAGCGATGGCGGCGACGGGATTTGCGGGCGGGCGCCGGTCGCCCTGGATCTCCGGCACGAGCTGGCGCTGTACAGCGCGTCCGGCGAGCCGGAGTTCACCAACTTCGTGGCCGGGTTCCGCGGCTGCATCGACTACGTACTGGCGTCGCGCGCGTCGCTCGCGGCGGAGGCGGTGGTGCCACTGCCGGGCCTGGACGAGGTGCAGACGTACACGGCGCTGCCCAGCGTGGTGCACCCGTCCGACCACCTCGCGCTCGTATGCGACCTGCGCTTCTGCAATTGAGGCTTTGCTGACGCCGGCTCCGATTAATAGCGCTTTTGTGACTGTCAATGGCGTCTCCAGCCATGGCACTGGTATTGGCTGCGGTGGTTTCGGCGATGGCGATGGAAGTGGAGCCGCCGATGGAGCCGGCGGTGGCAGCGGTGGTGAAGCCAGCAGTGGCAGCAGTGAAGCCAGCAGTGGCAGCAGTGAAGCCAGAAGTGGCAGCGGTGGCGTGGGTGGTGAAGCCACAGCGGTGGCAGTGGTGGTGAAGTGGGCGGTGGCAGTGGTGAAGCCGGCGGTGGCAGGGGTGAAGCCAGCGGTGGCAGCGGCGGTGGTGAAGCCGGCGATGGCAGCGGCGGTAAAGCTGGTGGTGGTGAAGCCGGTGGTGGTGAAGCCGGTGGTGGTGGAGCCGGTGGTGGCGGAGCCGGTGGTGGCGGAGCCGGTGGTGGCGGCGGTAGTGGTGGAGCCGGCGGTGGCAGCGGTGATGGCAGCGGTGATGGTGAAGCCGTCGGTGGCGACGAAGGAGCTGGTGGTGGAACTGGTGGAGCTGGTGTTGAACCTGGTGGCAGCGACCATGAAGCTGGGGATGGAGCTGGTGGTGGAACTGGTGGCGGTGACAATGGAGCAGATGGTGGAGCCAAAGACTGCGGCGCTATCATTGCTACCATCACTCGCGTCAATGGTGCTCACAATCGCACAGCCGGTGCTATCTCTTCCGCGACTTCAGATGCTGGCACTCGCAGTGGCATTCCCACTCGCACTCCCGAGTGACTTTCCTATCATCATCTACACCACCGGCGTTATTGGTTCCCTTGTCAATAGCACCCGAGTCATTAACACTGTCGGTGAACTTCCTGCCATCATCACTCGCACCGGTGGCACTACCACTGACCTCCATAACACTATCGCTCGTACTACTGTTGATATTAATGACCTTTTTGCTAGCATCACTCCCATTACTCGCGCTTTCGGTAACCTTGGTGTCACTATCAATGACATTATCCCCATCGGAGTCTCCATCGGTGACGCCATTGTTGGTGCCTTCACTTGGGCCATCGCTGGCAACAGATATGGCACCAGACAACACTTTAGTGTTTGCACGTCTCTACCAGCTAACCGAGAGGACAGTGCGAAATGCGTTGTTCAGAATCGTGTTGAGCCACCTTGCCAGATGGTGGAGGGCGGCATGTGCAGGACTAATAAATCCCGTCACTTGACCTGGAGACGCGACGTCTGTGTGTGTGCACGTGTTTGCGTGGAGCGGTAGTGTCGCGGTTAGCCCGCAGTGCTACTAACCCAGCGACCCGAGTTCGATTCCCGCTCAAGGCCAACACCAATGACAATTATCTGGACCTCCTCTGGGCCTTACCTGGTGTGTAAACATCCCCACTGAGGAGGCAAAGGCGGCCCGGGCATGGTGCTGCCCACCCACCCCCTCGTGTGCTGTGCCGGCATTCATAGGTTTTCGCTAACAGCGCTTGCCCCAACAGTCTGGTTTAGGCTATGCGGGTAATATTGGGCTTTGTTGTGTGCGTGTCCGTCTCTTCATTTGGAGTTTCACTCGCTTAGGTTTCATCCACGCGGAGCGGCGGTCCAGTGGTTAGAGCAGTGTTCTGAACCCGGCGACCTCTGATTTGATTTCTGGCTACGATTGACATCAGTGGCGAGTGATATCTCAACCGATGCGAGGGGCTGTCTCCTTGTACCAAAGACGGCACTGGCCAGCGTGGTGAAGTATGGTCACACAACCGCTGTACTACTGCGGAAGACTTTTCACGGCTTGTGCTGTCCAGCTCTCTTCAAGAAGTTCCCCGGAACTTCGGAGCGGAACGTCTGACAACGCGCCGAACGACGTTGCCATCCAACACAAGAACTCGTCCGGAGGTGCTGCACAGCCCCCTGCGACCAAACCGCATAGAGAGGCTCTCGTCCAGCAGTGAATCGACAAGTGGTGGCGGGGGGCGGCAACGCGAGCCCACGGCCTGTGCAGCGAGGGCCTGGTGAGGCGCGCAGGATCGTTCGAAGCGGTGGCCCCATCGATGGCTTGTCGACCAAGACTGCTCTATTATTATTATTACTACGACTACCGGAACAAGGGACAAAGTCGCAGACGGAATTGCCTACTCGGGAGTTGCCTACTCGGGAGTGTACGGCGGCACGGTGTGCGAGTTTTTATTTTATAAAAATGACAACCGAACAAATCGACGGGAGGGGGGGAGGGGGGCCGCGGGGATATGAAGACGACGACTGCTTCAGTGGCAATGAAATCACAATTCTGCAGATTAAGGGGGGGGGGGGGGTGTGGGGGGACAGTGTGGGGGGGAGGAAGCTGGGAGCGGAGCTGGCAGTCAGCATGGTTTCCAAACCGGCGAAGGTTTCCGGGTCGATTCGGTTGATGATTTCCTGGAGCAGACGCTCTGGTGGTGGCACTTGGTGGGGCGGTGGGACTTGGTGGGGCGGTGGGGGGGGTTGGTTTTCTTCCTGGGGGAATCAACCCCCCCCCCCCCCAGGGGGCTTATTTTCAGCCCCCGGGGGTTTTTCTGGACCCGGCACACCACATCCAGTATAGTTCTCGCAAATGCAGCAACCACAATTCGTCACGCGCCACAGACTCCCAGCAAAACCTCATAACGATTCCTCCTGATATTGAGACGAACCCAAAACAGATATCGGGTGGCGACAACTCTTTGTTTACTTCGTTCTCCCAGCAAACCAAAACAAATGTTGGTTTTCTTCCTGGTAAAATTACACCGCCCCCTCCCCCCCCCCCCTGCCGCTGGTGGGGAAGGCTGACCGGGTTAGGGGAGCCTAGAGGTTCGTCAGTCAGGTCCAAGATGAGGATACCAGGCGGACGGAATGGACAAGTGCCAGCCTCAGCCGGCAAGCAAGGCGAGCCAGCTGTTTAACGAGTGGAAAGTCGTCTTGAAATTAATGTTTTATTTGAAACTGCATGGAGGTTAAACTTACATGCAAAGAGAGATTACTTCATCACAAAGAACCGAAAAGGACGTTGAGAAAGAGGGGGTGGGGCGGGGAGGAAGAATACAAATGCTTGTAAAGGGGGGGGGGGGTAACCAATATCGGTTCCTCTACACCAACTCGCACCGACCAGCACGGTTGAAGATTGGTCAAACGACCCCCAGTGGAAGAGGCCCTCGTCACCCAGCAGCGGGGGGGGGGGGGTCGGCGGTCCGTGTGGGTACATCGCTTCCTCCAGGGTAACGAGCTATCTACTCTGCATGTGGGAAACGGGAGGGGGGGGGGGGGATGGCAACGCTACCGTATTCTCTGGATTACAAGACGCTCTGGGAAGTAACACCCTACCAAACCTGTGCCCGGTGTCAATGAAGTTTTACAAATCTGGTCTCACACACACACACGCAATCGGCAACACTCGCGCTGCCACCAGATAATACAACGCAGCAGCAGCAGCACCATTCCCAGCTCTTGCTTTAAAACGGCAAAAACGAGCGTGCCCTCATAATCCAGAGAATGCAGTAATTCACAGACAACGGAACGAGCAGACCCCCCACCACGTTCACCTCTGGCTGCGCCACGCGACCCACAGCGGGCACAGAGACGGCGCCAACCATCGGTCGCTACCGATCTGAAGGCAGCAGTTTATAGACCATGAATCCGGCACCGCCTTCCCCCCCCCCCGACGATGTTTAGAACTCCAGTTTTGTGCCGCAAAGGGTGGGCTGGTGCTGGTGCTGGCGGGACACATTGTATAAATACGATAACGGTCCTCTGCGGGCGAAAGCAATGCAAGGTTTCCGTCCTTTCTGAAAATGGCGAAGTGGCACCTCCGAGGATCGTGCGGGGGCTCGTCGGCCGCCCCGCCAAGTCGGGGCTCGAGAAATCTCCGAGGGAGCAGCGCGCTCGAGGAGTGGCGCCACGTTACCCCCCCTCACCCCCCCCCCCCTTCGAGCCGCGACCGGGAGTTTTCCCATCCCAGTCCGTTCAATCGGCAGAACCTCCAATGCGCGTGTATTCCGTCGTGAACGTTGGGAGGACTGCACGTGTTGGTCGTAACGTACACGCAGCTCCCGTTGCTGCCCTCTACTGTGGGACCAGAGGTCGGACCTGAAGACATCTCTCCGATGGAGCTCGAGGGTATCCGCTCCGTTCTCTCTTAACACACGGGTGGGGGATGCGCTGCTCTTGAATTCTTTGAGCACGTTACACCCACCGATAGCGCAATACGAAAGGAAAATGTCCATCGCAACCTGTACTTACGTCCAGTGCAATAGCACAGAGAGCACACGCCCTGCGCTCGCACTCGACGCCAACGCAAGCGCCACCCATCGCTCACCGGGCCCCCCGCCCCCTCTGCTCCCACCAACAGGCCTGCCCGCCCAACGACCACGACAGGAAAAATCTCGCGCAACTAAATCCGACGGTGACCGCGTCCCGATTGTGGGGCGGTCTCGGGGGGGGGGGGGGGATGGGAGTACGTACATTTATTTGCCTCTTAAATTAAGATGAGAGAAAGAGAGAGAGCAAGCAAGTCGAGGGGATGCGCCGTGAGACGTGCTGGCTTGTGGTGCCGTGCGGCGGTGCTAATGCTTGGAGAGCTCGTTGGAGAGCCAGTCGAGTCCTTCGTAGAGGCCGCTTCCCTGCGTGGCGCACGTCGCCTGCACGTACCACTGGAAGGAACAAGGTGGGGAATTGGGGGGGGGGGGAGGGGAGTGCTCGTGAACAGAGCCACATGACGGCGATAACAAGAACGATGGCACTGTTGGTGACGAGCAAAGGTGGTGGTGACGGCGACGGCGGTAATGATGATGGTGGTGACAAAGGCGGTGACGGTGGCAATGGCGGCGGTGGTGGCGACGATGAAGGTGGTGATGACAGTAACAGCGATAATGATGATGGTGGTGACAAAGGCGGTGACGGTGGCAATGGCAGTGACGATGGTGGCGACGATTGTTCCTCACAGTGCGGTTGCGCAGTCCCTGCAGGCCCAGCTTCTCGGTGAGGTCGCTGATGGTCATGGCATTGGGGAGATCCTGCTTGTTCGCAAACACCAGCAGCACCGCGCTCCTCAGCTCATCCTCTTGCAGCTGTGGTTGCGTGGAGGAGAGGGGAGACACGGGGGAAGAGAAAGGAGATGGGGAACAAGGGAGAAGGGGAGACACGAGAGGGGTTCAAGTGACTGCTGCGGCCAATGAAAGCGCTACCATTCACCAGTGTTAAAATAACAGAGAATCTCATTCTGCCTAGAACGTCAGGCACATTGACCACCAGCATTGACTTAAGCAAGCCGGACTGCGTACAAGGCATACCGCACACCACAGCGTATACCGCACCCCACAACTCTACGCGCATCGTGCACCGCACACTCGTCGTTATTTACATTTGCTGGGGTTTTCTCAACGTTGCATCGTCACCCGGACGTCAGTCTGCGTGTGAATGTCTCGACTTGGCGGGGGTGGGGAGGGGATAATTTTTCCCCCATGGGACTCCATGCGTGTAACCGAGTTTGCGTTGACGGTTTCAAGACACCAATTCAGCACGGATGCGCGCATTCGCTCTCCCGAGTCAAACACGACATCTCGTCTCTCTTACATTCAACTAACGATCCCTCCTTAATCGCTCTGCTCCCGTCAACCGGACTCGATCCGCTGCCAAGATCAATTCACTGTTGCATGAAGGCCACGCCCTAAGCCGTCACTGCCTCTCACGACCCCGTAATGTTATCATCCATCACCATGCGAGCAGCCGATCTCCTACTTCATAACAATAACATTTATTACTATTCCGGAAGACATGGTGATGGCTTGGGGTGGAGGCCTTCATCCAGCAGTGGATTGATCATGGCTGATGATTATGATGAAGATGAGTGAATTCACAAAACGGTGCTCGTGCTAAACGCAGGACAGTCTCGGCGCGTAGCGTTGACACTCTTGTTTTATGTGACAAGGAAAGGGCGCTAGGGTCACTCGAAAGCCAGGATGACTTCTAGCTCAAATGAGCATCGGGGTATTGGTGCCCATCTCCCATTTACGGCCCTGCAGAGCCAGTGATGCAAATTCAACATTACAATCGCGTGATTCTCTCACTATTCAACTCCCAATAATCTACTCCTGGCAACTGTGCGGCAACAGCAGCAGCGATTGCTTTAGCCTTCCTTTCCCTGACTCGAGGCGCCGTGTGAACGCAAATCCCGGCTTCTAAGTCAAATAAATAGCGCCACCGAGTGCGAGAGTTCATAGTGAAGCGCGCAGAGCCCTCCCATTGTGGGAGCACAAAGAGGATGGCAGTCGATGCGTGGGGGGCGAGTCTGGAAATACCGCGTCAGCTGTTCCGCATGCGGGCGACCCCCGCCTATCGTTAACATCTCGCCGCGGTACCGAGATGTTAACTACCTCTCCTGGTATGCAGGAGGTCCTGGATTCGCCTTTATATTTGGAGTTTGCATGTTCTCCCCGTGGTGGCGTGGATTTTTCCTTCGGTCTTTCCCCTCCAGATTTAGAAACATGCGTTTAGAGTATATGGCTGCTAGAAATGTCCACGTGATAAGCCACTTAGAGCTATCTTCTATGGCCAGGTCACTACTGAAAAAGAGCTATATAGCTCAAATAGAAAGTTGAGTTTAGTATCGAACAGCCGCACCCACCTACAAACGGGCCGCTCGAGCCTCAGAGGCTGACCAGGATTCAGCCTGCGTGGTACTTGGTATGAGAGGCTGTTCGAGAAGCCGCCCCGCCTCTGGCTGCCTCCCAACATCGCTCCGTTGCCGGCCCCGTGGCAACTAGCGCCAACGGCAACTGCGGTCACAACGTCGGGCGAGCCGTGGCGGCGGTGGCGGCAGCAGAGACGGCACAACAATGGCCGTAAATCAACAGCCGCGTCACCGCGGCCCGCTGCCACCACCGCCAGTCGACCGTGTGATTGGATTGGGTTTAGCCTGGGCAGCTTAAAACGCAACGCAAACAAGGTCCCCCGTGCTCCATTGCGCCCACGCTTCAATGATAAGCCTCGTCGGCCAAGGCCGTAACGTAGCCACGAGATGACGTCATCAAACGCGACGTCACCTGGGGAAGAGAAGCCACACGTACGCACAGATTCCACAACGAATTCTGACGTGCGCTTGTTTGATAGGCGACGTTAATGTGTGGCGTTGCAATCGGCTCGACGACACGACACAGCGAGTGACTAACGTGACATCGTCCCGCTAATGGAAGGCGTGCGTGCGGCCTTTCTTCCCTGCCGCGTTCCAGGTTTTGTCAGCGGAAGGAAATTTACGGGGACCCTTACCATTTTCTGCAGCTCCTCGGCGGCCTCCTGCGTCCTCTCGCGATCGTTGCTGTCAACAACGAATATCAGGCCCTGTGCAGGCGCGCACACGCGACACGAGCAGAGGTTAGCGTGCCGTGTTCCGATTCCCGGCAAACAAGCCACACCGCCGGGGAAGGTGGCGATATCCGGGCGCAAACTCCCAAATAACTCGGGGCTAAGATGAACCGCGGTCCATCTCTGCCGCCACCACCGCTCCCGATTTACAGATTAACCCGAGTACAGCGAATGGATTTTATCTCCATCTGTACTTCATCCATACGGGGATGGAGCATTTCCCCCTCTGGCACGCATGGATTTTCTCCGGGGTACTACCACGCGTATAGACCACTCGTTAACGGAGGCAAACAACCCAATGTAGGCCCACAGAGCTTGAGTAAATGTTGGCAGCCGGTTCCGACTGCCTTCATTTGCGCTGGTCGGTGATTTCCCGCCACCTTTGAATCACCCCTCTCGCTCTCTCTCTTAACAGTGAACGCAAAATTGCGCGTGATACAACCGCCAAATTATTGATTACTTTATTATAATGCCACACTGTGGTGATAACTGAAGTCGGCCAACTGAGTAATGGCACGGATTTTTTTTTTCAGCATTGTAATGCTGTTTGGCTAATATCGGTTACATTGTGCAATTCTTGAGCTGTGTGAAGAAACTGGAGAACCTGGAGGAAACCCATGCGGCACAGGGATGGAACATACAAACTCCACTCTCTCACTGCAGAACAGGGGGAGAACATACAAACTCCACTCTCTCACTGCAGAACAGGGGGAGAACATACAAACTCCACTCACTCACTACAGAACAGGGCGAGAACATACAAACTCCACTCTCTCACTGCAGAACAGGGGGAGAACATACAAACTCCACTCTCTCACTGCAGAACAGGGGGAGAACATACAAACTCCACTCACTCACTACAGAACAGGGGGAGAACATACAAACTCCACTCTCTCACTGCAGAACAGGGGGAGAACATACTACCTTCACACACTCACACATTTACAAAGCTAAAGATCCCCCTTATAGCCTTAACATATTTTTTGGGGCAACTGCTCTTAGCGAGCACCTATGAAGGCGAGCACGGCACTCGAAGGGGTGGGTGGCCAGCACCACGCCTGGCCGCCTTTGTCTCTCCAGTGGCGATATTCACACACCGCACCAGGTACTTATTTGAAGCCGAGTCGACCCAGAGGAGGCCCAGGACCGGTTCAGATAATCATCACTGGTGTTGGCCATGAGCAGGAATTGGACTCGGGTCGCCGTGCCTGCTGACCTGCGTGTTCTGGAAGTAGTGCCTCCACAGGGGTCGGATCTTGTCCTGCCCTCCGACGTCCCACACCGTGAAGCAGATGTTCTTGTACTCCACCGTCTCCACGTTGAAGCCTGCGCCGCCAGAGGACACGGCGTTCGCGTGGTGAGGGAAGGAGGGCAGGGAGCACAGGGCAGGACGCTCGGGAAGGCGACCAACTCAGATGATTTTACAGGCGGTGGCGGCGTCTGCTTATAATTATATATATATTTCTTTTAACCAGGTAAGGCGCAAAGGAGCTAGAAACTCTTTTTCAGAAGCAGCCTGGCCACAAATGATAGCTCAACGAAGTGGCTTATCACGTGGAAATGTTGTAGCAGCCAAATACGTTAAAACGCACGTCGATTTTAAATGTGGAGGGAAAAACCGGAGGACCCGGAGAAAAACCCACACAACCGCTGAGGGAAAGACGCGCAAAACTCCAAATATAGAGGCGTCTGGTTCTAGATCGAACCCACGACCTGTATACCGGGCGAGGTAGTAAACATCTCACCACTCTACCTGGTACGGAGGTTCCATTTATCTTGCCACCTGTACTGAACATGCCGCAACCAGCTTGCCAGGTGGCTGCTCAGCCGTAGAGCGAGCGGATCGCAGCGACCAGATGTTCACAATAATTACGATTTACATTTGTAAATTGGTTCATTTCATCCGTAGATCCCAATGCGCCCACTGTGTATAGAAAGCAGGAAATTAACAGAACCTGCAAGGTAAACGGTCAGAACTAGGTGGGTGTTAAGGCCAGTTTAAAGAAGTGAGCTTTCAAGACGGACTGAAATAGTTCTAACGACTGATTTTTAACACGTAGGCTTTCGCGACCAATATTATTTATAATAAACGTTTTTGGGTTAGATCGCGTTATTTATAAATGTGTCGTAACCCTCCCACCACCCGACACGGCCAATCAGTAAAAAAGTGTCACGTTGACAAAAGACAAATAGTTCACTACTTTAGCCCACCGGTGTGTTGAAGAGTGAATCCACAACAATTATAAAACAAAAATTGAGTACGACGTTTATACTCTGATTTTCTTGTTACCAAGAGCAGGCAGTTCAAATCCTGGTTGGCTCAGCCCATCCCATCATCCCTCCCTCCGGGGTCGATCAATTGAGTAACCACTTTGCGGGGGGAAGTCAACAGCAGTTCTTCAATGATACACCTGGCCCCACCATAGGAATGGGGAATTTCCACCACTGGCTCTGCAGGGCTGTACAACACAGGAGATGACCACCGACGCCTTGGTGCTCGTTGGAACAGGAAGTCGTTTTGACTTGTTTATGAGAGAGACCAGACCAGGTGACAATTCACATCACCGCAGCTCGCGCAGATGCCCCCTAGAGTAGTGCGCGGGGGGAAAAAGGTCGAAGGAAGAAATGCTCCTCGTACCTAATAGTCCACGGGCCAGGACAGAAATCGGTCCCAACTAATGTAGCAAATCTCGAGCTCAGTGGTTCTTAACCTTGACTGCAGCCTGCACCCCTTTGGTTCTGAGAAAGGGCATCTCGCACCCCCAGGGGTGTGTGCACCCCAGGTTAAGAACCACTGCTCTAGCCGTCCCGATTTAGTTACACCGCCAGTTAAGCGTGAATTATTTCATAACCCCACTCATTCAAGTGGTTAGCGCGTTGGAACCGCAAAGGTGAAATTGCCACCTCAGGTGGTACCGACGAGTGTGAGATCGGGGCTCTGGTTACGCAGGAAACTCTAGGAATCCTGTGCACGACTCCCCTACTCAAACACTTTTATCGCCTCAACCGCTCTTCGCAGCTGAGCGTGGTGTTGCAGTTCTTTATTATAATTTTATTATTATTCTTGTTTAAAAATTTGGCAGGAGGGTCCTGCCAAATTTTCGCAGTCGTTGGGGTGGGGGGGTGGCGATGTTCCTGCTGCTGCATGTGATCCCAAATGAGTAATTGGCAGGTGACTTTTCAGCATTGGGATGTTCAGCCAATACCAGCTATGGGAAGAGACCGGAGAACCTGGATGTAGTACAGGGGGTCGAACACACAAACGCCTTAAGTATGAAATCGAACCAAGGCCCCTCTTGCTGCGAGGCGCGAGTGTCACCACTGCATCGCCACCGCCGTACCGCCCTACACCTATGCGTCAAGATGCTAGAAACTCGACCGTTCAGGAAGTACCGCCGCTCCCTGGCTCAGTTAAGAATCTGCACGGTGCAGCCGATACGCGGCGGCGACGGCGGTGACGTGCGTTCACGCGCCCGGTGTGGAATTTTTTTTTACGTGCTTGACTAAACGTCGATCACGCGGCGGGAGGGGACGCCTACGCTGATATCTCCCCACTACGAGGTGGCCAGCACGAGGCAGCACAGCAAGCAGGTAGCCGACTCACAACCTGTTCCACCCGTTCTCGCACTCACACGGATGTACATTTTTCCCCGCAGTGCTCCAGTTGCCATTAAGGAATTTGCCAAAACGTACCAATGTACCGCAGACCCTCCTAAATGAGAGAATTAAGATTCCGTGAGGTTATTTATTTTAATTCTGTAAACAAATATAAATATCATTGCCGTTTGTGAGCTGCTACGAGGTCTATAGCTGATCACGTGACCCTGAACCACTTTGCGGTTTGGAGGCAGGTTGCCGTCGAGCCAAGTCAACCGCAACATGTGGGCCACACATGGACCCTTCGCTCGTCGGTATTCCAAGTCGAATGGTTCCCAGGCGCCACACGTGGCAAGAAGGACCACGTAGATGGGAGGTTCTCACGGCTCTGCTGCACCGTCGCCGCACGGGAGTCGCGAGGAGGAACCGCAGACCAGCGGGAGACACCGATGCCACGCGGTGAGCCGGCGCCAACAATTGCCCAAGTTCTGCGGTCCTCTATATGTTAAGCTGTTTTCGGCCGATTAATGAGCGTTCACATGTGAGAGGAAAACCGGAGCACCCCGAGAAAGCCCACGTGTATGAGCGAGGGGGAAACACTCTATCCCATACACACAACACGACGCTCACGAGGAAGGCAGCACCGCAACATCTGTGCGATCCACCAACCCTTGCCGCCTCCACAGTGCTGGATTACAGGCCACATGCGTAGCCACCACCACCGGGCTGGGAGCCTAATTCAGTTCCGGATAAAATCAGCACCATGCAGTTGTAAATGCAGTGAGGTGGCACCTCCCAGGTTTGAGCACTGGCGATGAGTGTCTCTGAGATGAAGTGGCTGATAGACAGGGTTTGTCACTGAGATGGCATCGCTGGGAATCTGGGTTTGATTGCCAAACCCCGATTACGGATGTAATCGGCACCTGGATTCCGGTGCTGAAGCTCCGAACACTTGGGAGCGAAACGTCGGACGTCGTGCCTCACGACACGCGCTCCAACCCGACATCACGCCGGAGCGCGCTCCGCTGAAAGGAACTGGACAAACATCTCAACGCAGGACCCTCCTGTAACAAGTCTTGAGGACTCGGTAGGGCTTTGTTGTTCTATGGCTGCCGTGGGGCTACCTTGTCAACAGAGGGCGGTGCTGGAAAAATCCCGCGCCTATGCTCCCTGCCTTCACAAAGCAATCCTGCCCAACGTGGTGAAGTATGGTCAAATACCCTCCCCCCCCCCTCCATTATAAACAAAAAAACTGCAAACAAAACACTTGGAAAGGCAGAGCGGTGGCCGTACTTCTATGCCACTGGCGTGTCCACACGCTCTGCCTGCCATCACCAAGCCGCACTGGCTTGCCAGCGTGGTGAAGTATGGTCAAACCTAGGAGAAGCGAAGAGGCTGCGGAGTGGGGGGTGGGGGAGCGGGGAGTTGCGGTGTTGCGTACCGATGGTGGGGATGGTGGTCACGATCTCTCCCAGCTTCAGCTTGTACAGGATCGTCGTCTTTCCGGCAGCGTCAAGGCCAACTGTGAGAAACGACACACGGGACACGCACGGACTCCACAACGGCCCTCCCAACGTGCCGACGTGCAACGCGATAATGACGTATGGATACATGGGAAGGCAAGGGGGAGATGATGTCGCGGGCAGGACGATGTCGTGGGACGATGTCACGCATAACACCTCTTTCAGACCGGTCCTTTTAGCGCGAGTTCAATCGCAAAGTTTTGGGCAACCCTCTGACCAGTTTGGCTGTTTTCCTGTTGACCAAGTACAAAAAAATAGCAACGCATCTTTTATAATAAAATGTAGTTTATATTGGATCACATTTATGAGAATGATTGCACTCTCGCCTGATTTGGCTGCAGCGCAGAGTTGACTCTGTCTGTCTGTAACTCATTAACTCTTGAACCTTCTTTGGATCCGCACAAAGCAGGACACCTAATGTGCAAGTGGAGAATAAAAGACTCTCTCTTTTGGTGGATGCTCATGGCTACAATCACCAAACCGGGGACCGGACAGGCAGCGCAGAGTTGACTCTGTCTGTAACTCATTAACTCTTGAACCTTCTTTGGATCCGCACAAAGCATGGAAGATGCGGACACCTAATGTGCAAGTGGAGAATAAAAGACTCTCTCCTTTGGTGGATGATCATGGCTACAATCACCAAACCGGGGACCGGACAGGTTCGCACCGCTCCCCAATGTAATTATGAAGGCCGTAGGTGTATCAAAAATTCAAAACCAGAAGTTTATTTTCCGAGTAAAGCCCACTGAGCTAAGAAACTCTTTTTCAAGGGCAACTCGGCCTGCAAGACAACATCAACGCACTCCACAATTTATTCACGAATCTCAGACAAAAGCGAACGAATGGCGATATCACTTCGAACTGAATCTCGAACAGTTGCTTCTTTATTTGGCAGTACGGAAGAGGGTAATAGTTGTAAAAGCGTTAAAAACAGTGGCAGCAAAGCCACACTGCCGTCTGAACAACAACCACGGCCACAGCGGCGGTGGTGGCTGTAAAGATCCCCGGGGCGATCTCGCATCACACAACACCCGCCACCCGCGCACCCGCCACCCGCGCACCCTCCATGGAAAACAATTTTTGACCCCTGGCTGAGGGGACTTGAGTAAACCTATTACTATATCTTGTTACTGGCAAAGGAGGTCTCAATGTAAAGGCTTACCCCGAGCTCTCAATACTCTGATGGTGCGCTGTTTTTGAGTTGTACGCCTTATGGTGTCATCTGGTCCAACACCAGTGGAGACTAGGCTCTAAGAAAAGCCGTCTCGGGTGTGGACCAATCAAATTCAAGGAAAGTGCCAATATCATTATCACAGTTGTTTCTTTTTGTTTGCATTTTTGACTGCTTTTGTTGTGGTTATTGCAAACATGATCCCTTGTATAAAGGTGTCAGTTTTTGTGGCAGCTAAAAGGGTAAAAACCTATTACTAAACCTTTTACCTTCATGTTTATATTTTACTAGCTTTACTACCCGGCTTCGCCCGGGACTTGGATTCACCACGCCCGGCCGCCTTTGTCTCCCCAGTGGCGATGTTCACACACCACAGCAGTTACTCGTTTGAGGCTGAGTCACCTAGGGGAGGCCCAGGACCGGTTAAAATAATCGTCACCGGTGGTGGCCGTGAGCGGGAATCGAAGTCGCGTCGCCGGGTTCGTAGCGCAGCGCGTTAAGCACTACGCATGCGCGGGTGACAGGACAGATGTGACGTCACAGCTCACTTGCCGTGCAAAATATATGCATTATTGCGCCCCCCCCACCCCCCCAAAAAAAATATACAAAAGTGTATTTTCATAATTTTTGCATGGTGTACAGTCTGGAAAGTACCCACATGGCAAATTTAAAGTTTGTTGGATGTCGGGAAGTACGCTAAACATTTTGAACAGACACACATATTAACAAATTTCCCTTTTATATATATTTAGATTTTATAAACACCACCACAACCGCACCGGTACCTCGCGCCAGTGATGTGTCTCGCGGTGGCCCATTGGTTTAGCCGCGCCGGTCGGCAATTCCCTGCGTATGACCGGAGCGACCTTTTCGGGTGGGGACGCCGGTGTCAAATCGCCACCTCCGCTGCCATCGCCGCGTTTGAACAATAGCACCGCAGCCAAATCGGTGGTAGCCCTGACGATTACCCCCAACCTTAACCCTGTCTGTAGCCTTTGCTGCCAGGGTATGTTGTGTCCATCAACTACAAGTGGCGAAAAGGATTTATGGTCATTAAGTTGTGAACTGCTGTAGCATCTCCAATCATCACCACAATGCTTCAATCCCTCCACTGGCTCACAATCTAGTATTGGATCAACTTCAAGATCACACACTCACCGCCTTCTAGATCCTCCATGGACTCACCCCTGTCTTGCTCTCCCATCTCACCTCACTTTACTCCCCTCCACACACACTCTCCTCCCTTTCTCATCTCACTATAGTCTTCTCCACGCACTCTCGTATCTCTCTCCTCTCAGCTCACTATACTCATCTTCATGCACTCTGCTGATGGATAGCAAATACCTAACTGGGTAAAGGAGCTCAAGTGAGAAACCAATCAACAAAAGGGAACTGCACCTTCCTACTGGGGATGCCCTCCTGATTTTCAGATTCGTTAAAAAAAGTTTTTAAAATCTCATGCCTAGATTAAAATTTTGGAGTATCTGCAGTTTTTTTCGGTTTCAGATTTATCTCCAAAACCGTGGGTCATACAACACTTCCACACGTTTAGTGCATAAAATCCAATAAGGTCCGACATTGTCCTTGAAAATAAACAAAATCCCAAAAACTCATCGATGCTTTCTACATAGTCAGAGAATCCTGCCAGAGAGCCCCAAGACGTTGAAACAACAACAAAAAGCTAAAAAAACCAGGATGTTGATTTAAATCGACTAATTGTTTCGAGCTTACGGAGGAGGAGCCTGGTGGAACCGCGGGCAGTGCCGTGACCTCGTTACAGCGATGCGCGCGGAGCAACGCGGAGGAGCCGGGCTCGGCCACGCAGAAGGAGAATCGCGTTTGACGGCGGCTTCATCCGTCAACTCGTGTCGCGCGTTTCCTGACATCGCTCGAGGGGCGGGCAATCGGACAAAGTTTGCGATATTGCCCTGTTCACTGGCGAATCATTAGATGTGACATAATGGTCGGTAACCCGCCTCAGATTAGCGGCAGAGTTCACGCCCAATCGGACAACGAACCCTCAAGAGAGAATGCGGCGATTAAATACAGTATCGCAAATAACACCGGGGTATACAACACTCCGGTCACATGCATAAACACTCATTCATCGGTTGATAACAACTTAATATATAAAGCACCGCAGAGCTTGGGGAGATTGGCACCGGCTCACTGCCTGGCTGTTGCTGCCTTTCCGTTTGTTTAGAGGTTCCTCCTCGCACCTCTGAGTCGTTCTCTCTCTGTGAGAGCGAGCTTGTACTGTGCGGCGCTCTGTTACATGTTGATAATATTATTATGTGACCCTGGGTAAGCCTCTAGCCGCACGTGTCCAGTTTAAACCAGTTACCCTGTGTTACCTGGCTACCCTGCCAAGCCACTGCTAAACTGAGCCCTGGAGCAATGGACACTGTTTGACATCTGCCAGATGACGTTTTCCAATTGGGATGAATATCACGTGTTCACCCTCGCTGCGTGTGTTTGTGTGTACACGCAAGCTATCTGGTTTAAAACAATAATCAGCCGCGGTCAATCCACTGCTCGGTGAAGACTTCCCCAATCCACCGCCATCTCCCATGATCCTGCGGTGCCACAATCCACCTAGCACCCGTGTACCAATCGATTCAATCGCTCCATCTCAAACGGGGGACGTGCTCTAATCAGCGTGTTGTTTTTGTTGTTAATAAATTGCCATTATACACACTATTCGACCATGGTCTGACTCTTCAAAAGAAACAAATTTTTAATCACTGGTAAACGTGATCATGCCACGAGCATCCTGCTCTGTGGTATGAAATATTAAACCGCAGCGACAATTGTGGTGCCCATGAAGCCAAAGGCAGCTGTAATTGCGTCTGAACAAAGTGCAGTGCAGTAAAGTAATTTGCTACGGTTATTGACATAACCCCGGGGAGACCCTGACAGGCAGAAGTGACAGATTCCACACCACGACCCGAGCTCCAACCTCTAACCCTGACAAGCTGTGATACACTTCTATGAGTCTATGGTAAGGTAATTAGTTTCCTTCAAGATGCCGAGAGGCTATGAAAGTCTGCTATACAAAGCTACAAGTGCTATGTAAGACAGTCTGTTATGAGGGGATGCTATGCTATGAGGTTGCTATATAATTCTAAGAGAGGTTATGAGTCTGCTGTGAGAAGCTATACGTCTAAGCAACGGTCTGCTGTAGGACTCCGACATGCTATGTGTAATGCATTGAGTGACGTAAGATTTAATGGTTTGTGTGTTGTGTAAGGTTATGAGGCTTCTGTGGAATTATGTGAAACTCTGCTGCAAGTCGATGAGTCTGCTCTGTGAAACTGTTAGTCTGTTATGGGAGTCTGCTGTCGAAGCCCGTGCTTACACAGCAGACTGAATTTTCCTCTGAGCACGAAGCATGGGTGTGAATGCTGGGCACTGCGAAGGAGAGAGGAAGAGAGATGTTGCACAGTGGGAATGAGAATGTGGATGTGGTGCTTGGGGAAAAAAATTATAAACGAGAAGATTGGGGAAAATGATTAAGTTGGCAGCGATCGGATGACGAGATGAGAAGAGGTGTGAGCGAGGTGGTGGCGGGCACATCCTGATGAGGATGACAGGATTCTGAGGATGTGGGACGGAAAGTTTTGCAGACGGGATGTGCAGAGCAAGAGATCGTTGGATGAAGCCAAGATGAGACAGAGAGACAAGGCCAAGCAGGTTATAGGCGAGCATCTTGGTAGTGAGATGTTAACAACTTCGCTTGGTATACAGGAGGTCGTGGGTTCGATCCGACCCTGATGCCTGCTGCTATTTGTCTTTTGTCAACGTGACACTTTTTTTGCTGATTGGCCGTGTCGGGTGGAGGAGGGTTTCGACACATTTATAAATAACGCGATCTAACCCAAAAACCTTTATTATGAATAATATTGGTCGCGAAAGCCTACGTGTTAAACTGCTGCTGTATATTTGGAGTTTGCGTGTCTCTCTCCCTGTGATCGCGTGGATTTTTATCCGGATCCTCCGTTTTTTCCCTCCACATTTAGAAACGTGCGTTTTTAAGTATTTAGCTGCTACAAATTTCCACATTTCCACGTGATAGGCCACTTCGTTGAGCTATCATTTGTGGCCAGGTCGCTTCTGAAAAAGAGCTGTATAGCTCGGTGGGCCTTACCTGGTAAAATAAATATAAAAAGTTTAGTTAAGGCAAGAGGACGCCGTCAACGGGGCAGTCGAAGAATTTACTCTATGTAGCAGCAAGCTATGTCGGTCCTGAGTAATCTCTGACACTCCACTGATCCACCACACGCTGAGTTTCACACTTCCTCTCGGCAGGGGGATGGCGTAGAAGGGGGGGGGGGGGGTTTAAAAGGTGGTGGTGGTGGGGGTCTTCACTCCCTGCATCGCGTGGGGGTCCAAGAGGGCACCACACACACACAAGAGACGCGACCACACCTCGTGTGTGGCTTGGTAGTTGTCGACCCTGAACGGAAGGGCTTTCAGATACAACTTGTAAGGGTGCAAAGCCATTAACTACTGCTGCCCACTGCTGTGTACTGCTGTGTACAACTGCCTACTGCTGCCTCCTGCTGCTGCTGCCCTCCCGAGGTGGGACTGCCTGGTAATTTCACCACGTGGGTGGGATTTTAAGTGTGGGGTAAATAATAATATTTACTGTTGCGCAAGTTTAGAAAAGATTTATAATCAACAAAATAATTTACGGTCCACCGCTGTAGGACATTGGTGAGGCGGCGGGGAGGTGTTTAACCCGAATTCACCACGCTGGGGCAGTGCAGGTTGAAGAGCGTGAATTATTTTATTGGGGGGAAAAAGATCTGCACAGCTGATTGATGACTGCGTTTGCTATTTTGCTGTTGATTTTGGGTTTGTTTCTTTTATTAAACCACGATTTCTGAGTACGGTCCGTCCAGAGCCCCGAAAACGCCAAGCGGCCAGCAACAAACAGCAGCAATGAAAGTGTGATTGATAAGCGTTATATGCGTTTCTTAAATTGAGCATGGTTGTGAGAGAATGGGGAGAAAAGAGACAATAACAATCATGATTCTGAGGAAAGAATTCCAGATCGGAGCCGTGCGATGGAAGAAGCAGAGAGCGCAGTGAGGTGACCTGCAGTGTGGCAAGTGGGTGGGTGATTGTGTGGTGAGTGCGTAGGTGGGTAGGCGACTGAGTGTTGTGACCTGCAGTGTGGTGAGTGGGCAGGTGATTGTGTGGTGAGTGGGTGGGTGATTGTGTGGGCAGATGAGTGTTGTGATTTGCAGGGGGGCGAGTGGGTGGGTGATTATGTGGTGAGTGGGTGGGTAAACACGGGAGATCAGGTCTTGTTTAATCGAGTGAATGTTTACACAGTCGATTGGACCAAACAAGAAGAATATCTTTAGTGTAACATTCTATCTCACCTATGCCAAGACGAGGGCACCTTGCTATGTGTTCATTATGAGTGTACTGTACAGTATTTTGGTTCTGCTCTCCGAATAAACTCTGTTTAATCGAGTCACAATTGTTCACAAAGTCGACTGGACGATAGAGAGAAATTACTAAAGAGTTCTGAGCATTATTGTGAAAGTATCTCACCTAATAATAGGACAGCAAGTAGGTGTGTCCGCTTTAATTATATATGTTGCTTAAGTAAACGTTGAGTTAAACAAATCCGAAATAAGCAAACGCACATCTGCAATTCGGATTATGTTTTAAATGCCAGTACTGTAGCTTCAAACGTCATCTCGCCAAATTATAACACCCCTGTTTTAGCATTTCGTACAATTAGTCCGAATGAGGGATCTCATTTACGTGTGGGTGGATGTAATTAAATATATCTCCTAATAATTGGAAACGCAAGTGGCCCACCAATCAAGCCAGGTAGGGTTCAATCGAACCAATTAATCACGAACTCTCCCTTTTCCCAATCACATGGTTGGGGAGCGGTAGTGTAGTGGTTAGCGCGCTGCGCTACGAACCCGGCGAACAGATTTCGATTCCCGCTCACGGCCAACGCCAGTGGCGATTTTCTGAACCGGTTCTGGGCCTCCCCTAGGTCGACTCAGCCTCAAATGAGTATCTGGTGTGGTGTGTAAACATCGCCACTGGGGAGACAAAGTCGGTCGGGCGTGGTGATGGCCACCCCACCCCCTCGTGCTTCCGTTCCGGCCTTAATAAGTGCTCGCTAACATCGCTTGCCCCTACAGTCTGTTCACGCTATACGGGGGACCTTTGTTTGTTTGTACCCGGGTGTTAGGAATTCCCTTGCAACGTGATTCATTTTATATTAAACATTCGTCGTGAATTGTAGCGGCTGCAGAGGGGTTACACGTACTGTACATACCAATTAAATACGACGCGCACAGATCGATACCAATTGCTTTACGAATAACGATGATGAAGACGCACGTGTCGTTTACGTTCAAAATCGATTAGGGCGCGGACACGTGGTGGCTGCCACCGCTGCTGCTGCTGCTGTCAATTAGCATCTGCTTAATTAAGTGACGGCATCGTGTTAACTGTGGGGACCGGCATCTTGTCCGGGTGCCGGGACTCCAGAGGAGGGGTCCACCAGGACTTTTGGAGGAAGGTGGTAATTCAAGTTTCACTCGAGACCTCGCCGGCCTCTTGGAGTCACGGTGAGAGGCTGTGGGTCTGCTGGAAGATGCTATGGGAGGTTGTGTGTATCAAGAGTGTGTTATGAGAGGCTGTGGGAGGGTGTGTGTGTGTATCAAGAGTGTGATATGAGAGGCTGAGTCTGCTGGAAGATGCTATGGGAGGTTATTATGAGAGGATGTGAGTGCTGTAGGAGGTTGTGTGTATCAAGAGTGTGTTATGAAAGGCTGTGGGTCTGCTGGAAGATGCTATGCGAGGTTGTGATTATCAAAAGTATGTTATGAGAGGCTGTCAGATGCTATGGGAGGTTGTGTGTATCAAGATTCTGCTACGATTCTGCGTGGAGATTGAGAAGTTCAGTGCTATCCCCCGACTATGAATGCTAAGTCCGGCATGCGAGTGCTATGGATGTGTCGAGTGCGGTCTATCATTAGATGCCATGTGTCTGCTTTGAGAGAATACAAGTCGAGGAGACTACGAGGTTGCTTTGATAAAGTTTGGTAAAATGAGGTTTCTACGAGACCGTCTGCTATGAGACTACTGACAGGTTGAGAGGCCGCTATGAGAAGTCATGTCTCTAGGTGTACGGGAAACTTTGAGCCTGCTAGGATGCACTGTTTATGAGAGGCTGAGTCTATGAAAGGCCATGAGTCTACAATTACAGCCTGGGAGTTCGAGTGGGTGAGGTGTGTGGGTGAGCTATGGGTGAGGTGTGTGTGCGAGCTATGGGTGAGGTGTGTAGGTGAGCTATGTGTGAGGTGTGTGTGTGTGCGAGCTATGGGTGAGGTGTGTAGGTGAGCTATGTGTGAGGTGTGTGTGTGCGAGCTATGGGTGAGGTGTGTGTGTGCGAGCTATGGGTGAGGTGTGTAGGTGAGCTGTGGGTGAAGTGTGTGGGTGAGCTGTGGGTGAAGTGTGTGGGTGAGCTATGGGTGAGGTGTGTGGGGTGAGCTATGGGTGAAGTGTGTGGTGCGAGCTATGGGTGAGGTGTGTGGGTGCAAGTTATGGGTGAGGTGTGTAGGTGAGCTATGGGTGAGGTGTGTGGGTGAGCTGTGTGTGTGTGTGCAAGCTATGGGTGAGGTGTGTGTGTGGGTGAGCTATGGGTGAGCTGTGAGTGAGGTGTGTGTGCGAGCTGTGGGTGAGGTGTATGGGTGAGGTGTGTGGGCGAGCTATGGGTGAGGTGTGTGTGGGCGAGCTATGGGTGAGGTGTGTGTGGGTGAGCTATGGGTGATGGATGTGTGTGGGTAAGCTATGGGTGATGAGTGTGTGTGGGTAAGCTATGGGTGATGAGTGTGTGTGGGTAAGCTATGGGTGATGAGTGTGTGTGGGTAAGCTATGGGTGATGAGTGTGTGTGGGTAAGCTATGGGTGATGAGTGTGTGTGGGTAAGCTATGGGTGATGAGTGTGTGTGGGTAAGCTATGGGTGATGAGTGTGTGTGGGTAAGCTATGGGTGATGAGTGTGTGTGGGTAAGCTATGGGTGATGAGTGTGTGTGGGTAAGCTATGGGTGATGAGTGTGTGTGGGTAAGCTATGGGTGATGAGTGTGTGTGGGTAAGCTATGGGTGATGAGTGTGTGTGGGTAAGCTATGGGTGATCAGTGTGTGTGGGTAAGCTATGGGTGATGAGTGTGTGTGGGTGAGCTATGGGTGAGGTGTGTGGGTGAGCTATGGGTGAGGTGTGTGTGGGTGAGCTATGGGTGAGGGGTGTGTGCGAGCTGTGGATGAGGTGTGTGGGTGAGCTGTAAGGTGTGTGGGTGAGGTGTGTGCGAGCTATGGGTGAGGTGTGGGGGTGAGGTGTGTGGGTGAGCTGGGGGTGAGGTGTGTGGGTGAGCTGTGGGTGAGGTGTGTGTGCGAGCTGTGTGGGCGAGCTGAGGTGTGCGGGTGAAGTGTGTGGGTGAGGCAAGGTGTGGGAGTGAGTGAGCTGTGGGTGAGGCGAGGTGTGGGAGTGGGTGAGCTGTGGGTGAGGCGAGGCCCTCGGGGCTCGCCGCCACTCACCCATCAGGATCCGCATCTGCTTCTTGCCGAGCAGCCTCGTGAACAGCGAGGAAATCGTCAGCCCCATGGCGTCACCTGTCAGCGCGCGCCTTTTTATTAATAGGGTGGTCGATAATTTTTTTTAGTTTGGGGTTTTATCTTAATCGTAAAAAAAACACAAATTTGATCAAAAAGTGTCGGGATCTGACGCAAATCCTCACTCGTGTGGTGGCGAGGGGCGGGGGGACGTGGGCACTGGGATGGAGGGGTGGCGGGTGGGGTGTGGGGAACAGATTCGCCATCGCGATTGGCTGCGGCGCCGTCACGTGCCTCCCGCGTGACCAAATGGGAGGAGGGCGGACGCGGGAACGTGCGACGTGGAGCTTCGGGGGTCTGTGCGGGATGAGGGGGGGGGCGTTGGGGGAGGGGTCGTAGGGGGAGGGGCCGTGACGTCATCAGGGAGGCATGCGAATTGGCGGCCATGTTACATGGGGGGGGGGGGTAGATAGGGTCATTGCCCAAAACGTCGTTTTCTTAGTTATTTTAAGGCCACAACGTTATTGACGAATGGTGAGTTGTTGTTGTTTGAGGTGGGGAAGGCCTCCCCGTATATTATGGGAGAGCATCGGTCACATACCTGCCAACCCCTTGTCGGTGCGGCCTACCTTAGTACAGACCAATTCAGACCTTATTGCTCACCCCGTGCCTCCTTTATAAATACAATTTCAACGTTCATCCTACGAGAGAGAAACACAAACAAAAACATGTTTTTTTGTTGTTGTTGCCCGTATTGAAACGGCTGTACGCGGTATGGACCTGCAAACTCTTTATTTCCCTGTACAAGAATACGGGGTGTGAACCATTATGGGTTACCGCTGAGTTTGTTTTGCATGGCCACAATCGCGCACTCCTCCACTGTGGCTTGTGTCCTTGAGTCTTCCACTCGTGGTCGATGGGATGTCGATCATCGGCCTCGTGAGGTTCTAGCGATGCTGTTTGGTTTTGGTGGTGGCGGTGCGAGGTCGGTGAGGAGACTGGACGTAATAAAGCGGATGCAACCGAGCTGTTGGCTTCTTTTTTTCTGAATATTCCTGACACTTTTAGTAAAAGACAACTTTCAAGAATCTCCCCAAGCGGCTTACGTGGAATTTTTTTCTAACAGCCAAAGAATCTAAAACGCAGCACGTCCACTGGAGACGGATCGGTGAAACATGCTTTGTGTGTAAAAGAGGCGCTAGGCAGATCGATTGTGATCCTATGAGCCATGAGACTTTGGCGACCGCTTGGGAATTTAACCTTCATCCAGCAGTAGATTAATCATGGCCGATTGATGATTATTGTGATTTATTTGTTAATGTTAGAATTTCAATATTAGCTCCATCCCAACGTAGGGCTGAATAAAACACTGGTCACTGAATTAATTTTGAGGTGGGTAACCAAAGGTGGGATGGCATGACCAGCGGAGGTGAAGTATGGTAAAACGGCCCCCAATGACGCGTAGGAAAGAGGCCCTCTTCTGGCAGTGGATTGATAATGGGGCAAAAAGTTATGAAATTTTTGCTTGGGTTAATGTTTTACACTTGTACCTCACCTCGGAGTGAATGAACACGCACTGGGATGTTAGTTGTTGTAATTCGTCGTGTTTATCAAAGTGGTTGAGCGGCAATGATGTAAACACAACAACAGTAACACACGCCAATGATTGCTGAGATGGTGACATTGCGTTTTCGAGTGAACGCCAGTTGTTAAGAGTTTACTGGAATTGGACGAGTTTGCTATTCGTGCCTATGGTGGCAGCAATGTTCCAGGAGCTAGATGACAATGCCCAGGGTCTGCTGGCCACATTTAAGGGGGCCTCCTCCGAGAGAGAGAGAGAGCGTTTGTGGAATTTTTCTGTTCGTCCTCTTCCGTTTGAAAGGCGCGCAGACTAATAACAATGGTTTACAATGCGGTCCATAGTTCGTATTGCACGGCCACAATCGTCCCAGCAGACGCCATAGGAATGATGAGACACGTTGGCTTTCTCCACCAATATCATCCATAATAGTTTTTTTTGGGTTGGATCGCGTAAATAAAAAAAGCACACCGCTGTGCTGTACTAGAGACGAATTGGCCACATTCTGTTTACGTGACGACCCTTACTAGTTGGTTGTGTCGGGTGGTGGCGGCTTTTAACGACACATTTATCTACGCGATCTAACCCAAAAGAGCTCCTATTATGGAGGAACGATGAAGGTGCTCAGATGGGTGGATGATGGATGAAGATGCAGGATAACAATGGAGCGGCGGCCAAGGAATGGAACGCGTCCGAGGCAGACGTCCGCTGAGGCGATGGAGCAATTGATGAGATCTGCTTATCATAGGGTGGACTAACATTGTAGGATCGTGAGAGGCAGTGGCGGCAAGGGGAGGAAGGTTTCTTACAGCAGTGGATTGACTATAGCTGATGATGATGATGGTGTCGAGCAATGAGTCCTGATGATGATAGAAAACTGACTGAAGTCATTTCGTGAACAAAAATTGTAATCAACTTCTGTGGTCGTTTCCTCTGTCCCCGAAAGCTGGAAACCCCCTTGTTGACATGCTCGGCATTGACGTCGCCGTAGTCGATCCCCCCCCCCACCACCTATCACCTCCCGTCCAGCGGCACATGCGGGGGAAGTGGCTGCGGCATAATGGTCAGCAGCAGCACACGGTACCTGCAATCTCAGAGGTCGCCAGGTTCGCGTCTATCTCCCGGCGTGGCAGCTATCCCCATCGGTCGAGAGAAACGGAACTGACGACCGGCAGAGTATTCGCGATTACTTAGATGTGCTGATGGTGATCTATTTACCCAAGGGGCCGTCCATAAATGACGTCACGCACCTGGGGGGGGGGGTGTCAGACATTTGTGACGAGGGGAGGGGGGGTGAGAAATGTGACGTCACATCAAAATACGCAACTGTAAATAATATAAACACGTTCTACTGAATGAAATAGACTTAAATAAATGTTTTGTCCTACAACATCAGAGTGCAGCGCCACATTCAATACGCACTATAATGGCAATAGTTTAAAGCGATTTGAAGCATGTTTTATATCTTTTTGGGGGGGGGCAGAGCTTTGTGACGTCATATTTGAGGGGGGGGGGGTCTGACTTTTTGTGACGCCGTGTGACGAAGGGGGGGGGGTGGTAAAAAATCGTCCAAAATCGCGTGACGTCATTTATGGACGCCCCCGAAGGTGTCTCTGCTCAGATGAGCAAGGGGTGAGGTCACCCACCCACCCAGCCCCCCCCCCTTGTCAAAGGGGTGAACATTAACAGACGGGTATGGTCATGTGAAGGGACCCCTCCCCCAGCACAGGTGTGTGTGAGGTGTCACCTGCCCACCACAACACACCTGCAACCACCTCTTATCTTGGAGCCTATGCACGGCTAACCGTGCCGCGGTCGTTTGTGCACGTTGTTTCGAGTAAGTGTCGATTACAATTTACTTCGTTACGTACCTTTTTTTTGCCCTGTGGCTGTAGTGGTTGGAATTCTGCCGCAAGTTTGTTGAGCCTGCGGGGTGGGGGTTTTAGTGCCAATTTAGGCGGCGGTGTTACGGTACCGTCCGCGAAAACGTTTTGGTCGAAGACGTTTTTACCGGATCGAGTTGTTGGGGTGGGGAGTCTCAAAACGAGCAAGGGACGGCTGCTGAAGTCAACCTGTGCTGTGTACTAATTGGGGGTTTTTCTTTCTTTCTTTTTTCTCCCGCGTGTCGCCGTGGCCAGCCATGTCGGTCGTTGGCGATGTCACTCCGCTGGAAACCTTCGAGGTGAGTGAGGGCCCCGTCCATAGTGGTTCGAGGGCCTCGGCAAAATCTCAACATGTGGGCCCCCCCCCCTGCCCCCCGACCCCTTATAGGCGCGGGGTCTGGGGCAATCGCCCCAATTCGCCGTATTCCAATGATGGCTCTGGCCACTGCTTCTCGAAGCTGTTTACCAATCTAAAACAGATTCATTCCCTGTGTCAATTTGAAAAGAATACACGTGTTTACATGGATAATGCTACAATTGCGATTTCCCCTCCCCCCCCCCCCCCCAACTTTTTGTTTGAGGAGCTGTTCTGTTAATCCTCCACGATCCCCGTTGAAATTGTGACAATTATTTGTATTGATTTGTCGGACAAAAAAAAACCTCCCGAGTGGCAACCTAGGGAGGACTCCTACCGAGGAGACGGAGCGATTTATAAATCTCCTTGCGTGCCTGTGCATGCCGATCGTTGCATCGCGCGGGATTGTATGAGATAGCTATGGTTTGTCGGGGGGGGGGGGGGAGAGTTTAATCCATCAGTGGATTGGCCATGGCCGATGATGGTGGTTATTTATGACACTTGCTTTACCCAGGAAAGCCTAATGGAGTCTTATGACACTTTGCAAAAGAGGGTCCTGCCAAGTGTTCCCAGGTAGAGGGTGTCTGGATTGGGGGGGGGGGGGGTTAGGGATTGCTGCTGCGTGTATAATCCTAATTGAGTAACTTGTAATTTGGAAAATTATTAACAGTGACGCTAGTACACAACGAGCCTACTCTTGTGAAATGATGTCACGGGATCTTTAACGTCCACCGATTTGAAGCCGACTGCGCGTGGTAATGGTGTTACTGTTAATACACACACCGCAGTGATAACCAGGGCGGCCGCTGGGATTCAAAACCGCGAACCTCTGCTACCAGCATCGATCACGTTATCGGTGACATAAATGCTCGGCTCTGAACATTCGTGAAAAAAAAAACAGTTTTTTAAAGTAAATGTAAAAAATCTGTCTGACAAGTGTGCGTGCATCTTGGCCCGTTGGTCGCCAGTTCAACAAACCCCTGGCCTGCAGTGGATAGACTGGCTGATAGTGGTGATGGTGGTGTTTAATTTGTTTATTGTGCAGTTAGACCTCGCTAAGCAAGGGGGGGGGGGGGTTTCCAGCTGCCATCTCCACCACGGGTGTGGCGCTAAAAACATTTAATCATTTCGAGACCCTTTTTAGTTTACTCAACTTCTGTTTTAGTTTCGGGGATTTCCCACGGAATTTAGGAACAATCCCCCCCCTCCCGCCACACCACCACCACCACAAATGTTTTCACTCTTGTTTAAACCTCCTCCGGTCAGTCTCCACCACCGGTACAATTTTAGAGATTTGAGTTCGGTCGGCCACCGCTAGAAGTGGTGTCCACGGGACTCGCTCGCCCGGACTTACACGACGGCCACACCGTGTACGCACAAACGATACTTGTCAACCACCTCGCACATTCTTTCTCCCCCACCGCCACCAATCGCCACCCCATCGGGGAAAAAAAAGAAGTCGTGAGGTGTAAGCCAGACTCGTTTGTGGAGCCATCCATTACATGACGAGCGGCGCAGACATCGTGACCTTACCCAGCAATGGGACATTGCACTTCGTCCGAGTACATGTGTTTCAAGGTACGTAGAATGTGAACATGTAACAGGGACAAATTTTTTTCTCTCGATCCGCTGCTGGATGACAGACGTCGTGCCGGGTGGGGTTGTCTGACCATACTTCACTGCGATGGTCGCTACGGGTTGATGGGGAAGTGGTTGGACGGGGGGGGGGGGGGGGTGGAGGCTCTAGACCAGTTCCGATTATCGTATGTCACTTGACGTGACCCGCGACTGGGAATCTCATTCCCAAGGGCTTCTTCCCCCACGTCATGTTGTCGGGAAGGCATAGACGTGGGAGCGTACAAGTACTGTCTCGTCCAACAATGGATTTTACTGCGGTGCCCTTTGCTGCGCCCAAACATAGACCCACTGTTTAACACGTAGGCTTTCGCGACCAATATTATTCATAATAAAGGTTTTTGGGTTAGATCGCGTTTATTTATAAATGTGTCGTAACCCTCCACCACCTGACACTTTTCTTTGCTGATTGGCCGTGTCGGGTGGTGGAGGGTTACGACACATTTATAAATAAACGCGATCTAACCCAAAAACCTTTATTATGAATAGACCCACTGGACTACGGGACATGGTCTCAAAGGCTTTATAAGGCATATTTGTATTTGATGCTGATTATTATAACTATGATGGTAACTATGCAGGCGAGTGATGGTATAACAATACTGGCGATTGTAAAAATGCCGTTGGTGATCATGATCATAGTGGTGGTAATAATAATAATAATGCTGATGAGCACTACTTCACAAAACCCCGGCCGAACCGCATGACCCCATCCTCGCTGTCGCGTTGACCGTCCCCACGTTTGTTGTTTTATTCCCCAGATGCTCTTCCTCTTCGTCCTCTACATCCTGGGCAGCTCGGTCAGGTGAGCGCCGCGCTTGCACTCGCGCGCATGCACGCACGGCATGGCACTCCGGCTTGGATTTTGGGGAAGAAGTTCCGTCCACCATGCAGATGAGGCCACGAAATCAACCCACGTGCTTCTCGGTGCTATCGGTGGAATATTACCGTCACGGGATCATGAGAAGCGGCGGCTTGGGGGAAGCCTTCATTCAACAGTGGATTGAGCACTGCTGATAACGATGATGATGACCAATGAGCGTTATTAATTTCTGAATAGAGGATGGTGCTCTTATCCGATCTGGTGTAATTTCTGTTGCGGTGAGCGGTGTAACCACAAGGCGAATACTGGTATGCCGCACCATACAGACAAGTGCAGAGCGATAGACGCGACACGTTCACCTTGCAAAAGCTGAGAATAACGAAGCGATTTGTCGCAGTGGTGAATTGGTCAGCAGCAGCACGTGACTGGAGTTGTCACCCGTACGTCGCCAGTTTGATTCCATCTCCCGGCGTGGCGGTCAGAACAACAATGGGGTTAGTTACAATCGGTGCATTCATTCCTAAAGTGCCACTGGAATTTGCTCCTGGTGCCTGACTTTCAGAACCGTTAATCGGTACCCTGTGGTTACCAGTTTAACAATCCTCCAAATTAAATCCCGAAATCTGACGAGAATAAGCCACCATCGTAACAAAATAATAGTGCAGGCCAGAAAACCGTGCGTTTTTTAACGGCAACGCACGGACGTGTCGACAGCACTCGGCCATTTGCACATAATGCGCAAGCCATCGGCAGTTCCTGAATAACTGAAATGTGGTCCTCTTGTCCATGCTCAACGTTGAAATACATTTTCAGCAAACGAGAACGAGAACGAGAGCAGCAGCGGAGACCGAGACGAACAACTGTAGACTGGTTTGTTCTTATTATGGCTCATGGGTGAAGTCTAGCCACCAGTACTCGCTGCTGCAGGCTGCCTCTGCCGTAGCAACCTGACCTAAAGGTCCAAGGTGACGGGTCACAGGGCTCCATCGCCACCACGGCTGTTATGATGGCCACGACTTTGTGGTGACGCGCCTCTTGTGTCTCCGCTCTCCCCCGCGCTCGTCAGTGTGATTGGCTGCCTGTCCGTCATCCTCTTCTCCGTCTGCCGCGGCATCGTCGCGGACAAAGAGGTGAGCTCCTCTATGACCACCCTCCCTTCGTTCCTCCGAGCTCCTCACTTGGTTCACCCACCACGTGCGTTCATCCATCCAACGTCATTAATAAGCAGTCTCCATATCTTCTTTGGTTCTTTCGGTAAAGTCACGTAGAATGAGAATAAAATAATAAATTGATAAAATGAAATAAGGGACGAGACTGTCTGGTAGGACACCTCCAGCGCTGTCCTACCAGACAGTCTCGTCCCTTCACCTGATGAAGGCCGCTTGTGTTGTGGCCGAAACGTCGTGAGAATATTATTGTGTTATTTTATTTTATCAATTTATTATTTTATTCTCATTCTACGTGACTTTACCGAAAGAACCAAAGAAGATGAATCATTGCAGTCACGAAAGCTTTAAATCGAAAGTCTCCATATCCTTCCACCTTGTGTTCGTCATTCCCACCTGCATCCTTAATTCGGTTGTCCCACCCCCGTCCCTATCCACCCTTCCGACCCACGCATCCGAACTTGCGTTGTTCATCATCCACCCCACGTGTTCGTCAACCCCCACATTGGTCCACATCTTTCCCCCCCCCCCCGCCCGCCCGCCTCTGTGTGCTGGCCGACCCCAGGTGCGGGTGCTGCTACAGCTGATGTTTGCCGACCTGGTGGCGTCGGTGCTGCTACTCTACTCGGCGACCGTGCCGCTACTGCCCGAGGAGCTCTACGTGTGGGTCTACGAGTACTGCAAGTACTCCGTAGTCGGAGCCCTCGTGAGTCCGTGACTACAGACCCCCCCCCCCCCCTCACTGCACACCACGTTATGAGCACTTGTTAAACAAAAAAAAAGGCGCGAAATGGATTATCGTTTACGTCATCGCGCGGCCTGTAAAGCGTTGTTGTTGTGAAATGCGAAACAATTCCAAGGTTGGTGGCAAGTACTCGTAAATAATGATGCAGAATACACACGAAATTTTAAAGCGTCCAAGTTGTTTCCGTTAGGAATGCGCCCTGAGCGGAAACCTGGCCGCATCCATCGAAGAGTTTCCCAAAACGAGCGGTGCCGGAAGGGTGGCCGTTGGCGGGCACGGCCTGGGAGCCGCTCGTCACCATTCTCGCCAACCGCTGCCTGTGCCTTAACCCGTTTTTGGAAAGTGTCGCAGTATCCATGTATATGCATGGATTTTTTTTTCTTCTTCCGCCCTAGTTTTACCCTGATTTTTTTCGCTATCCATACGTCGTACGTAGCACGGTAAGCTACGAAAGCCGGCGACCAAATTTAATTCCCGGCCACGGCTATAACATCGATGGCGAAGTGATGCCGGAGCTGGACCCGGTCCCAGGCCACCAACCCACACCAACCAGCGGGGGTGAAAGCATGGTCAAACAATCCTCACTACTGACACGGTGTGGGGGGAAGCATTCATCCAGCAGTGGATTGAACCCGTGTTTGCTGTGCGTATGTCCTGGTGAATTATCTTGGCAATAAAACCATGATAAATCTCACGAGCCCGCGATGTACTCATTCGCCTACCTAGTGCCTGCACAACGAACTGAATTTTAAATATTACAATTGTTTTAATGTATTTTTACTTTGAGCGCAAAGGGGTGTGAATTTTCTCCCGTGTGTCCCCTGTCGCCACCCGCCCCCCAGTGTTTCTACAGCTGCTCCCTTGCGCTGGTGCTGGTGTACGCGCTAGAGGTTTATGGCAGCATGCTGACCTTCAGCGGCGTCAGTTGCAGAGGGTGGCCGGTATGTGACCGTTGCTTTTTGCGCCAATTTCTATTCGCGTCATAATTGCTGGATATATTTAATTTGATTCGCTCACTCTTGCAAATGTGACTCCTAAGCCTTGTCTCTCGACTTGAGCTCTCACCCGGGTTAAGCACGATCAATGTGCACGAGCGAGATCCGCTGTGACATTGTTGGTCTGGGACGCGTTTGAATAAATGTAACGAGAGTTCAAAGAGAAGCATGGAGGGGGAGCACCTGCGTCAGGGGCTGAGCTGATCTGGGAGCCGTGCAGGAGACAGAGGGAAACACGCGGGTGGAGCTTAATCTGTCCCGCGTCGTGACATTTTACACGCCAGGCTTGCGACGGGCCATTTGGTTGGTTCGTGACCCAGTGACCTCACGAGCCCTGTTACCTTGCCGATTTTAACGGTCGTGCGCGCCCTCTCCTCCTCTCTCGATGTCCGTGCAGGCGATGTGCCGAGGCTTGGCTCGCTGCGGCACGTGGCCCCTGTACATCTTCTGCTGGTGAGCCCCAGCAACACCGGACGCCACGCGACGCAGGCGCCATCACCGTAGAAATACCATGCGCACCGCCCACTTCACACTGAACGTTAAACATCCCCCGCGCGTCATTTGTAGCGAGCAGTCCGCGATTGAGTGTGCCGGTGTCACGGTCAAAATTTGCCTGTTTTTGTCAAATTCATCATCAAACTACGCAATTTTCATCGCGCACAGCAGCCACCCCTCCCCACGGCCTATTGGCAGACTACCGTCTGCTCGAAGACCATGTGCTGAGTCGCCCTCTGCTACACGGGGACGGGGGGACAACTGCCTTTTTCGAGGTGCCCTCCGGGAAACTGAGATGTGACCAAGTTTCTTGTCACGTGTAAAGCCATCTCCGAGATGCCACTGGTGTCAAGGAGGGCGGCGTCTATCAAAACGCGAAATCATAATGGTTCTATTACATTCACACGGTAGATCATTGGAACGGTGGTTAGCTCGCTGCCCTGCAAACCCAACAACTTAAGTTTGCGTCCCGCTCGCCGACTATTTGAACCGTTCTTGGACCTCCTTTAGGTCGACTCTGCCTCGTGAGTACCCGGCGCGATGCGTAAACAGCGCCACTACGACGACCAAAGGCGTGGTGCTGGCCACATCCCCCCGTCGTGTGCCGTGCCGGCCCTCGTAGATGACGCTCTCTAATGGCACTTGCCCCAATAAGTCTGTTAAGGCTACACGGGGGATCTTTGTCTTTCTCCGTTGCCCCCTCCAGGCTGCTGCCGCCGTCCCTCTTCTCCATCTACATAGGCATCGTGCAGCGGCACCACAACCAGACCCTCATCACGCCCGTGTGGGAGAACGATCGTCACAGCAATGCCTCGTCGCAGTACTGCACGAGGTGGATTGCGTCCTTGTTGTCATCGTCATCGCATTCATCGTAAAAAAAAAAAGTTTTTTCAACGTTCCTCCTCCTCTGGGTTTTGCTGAAAAACCAAGTCCAGTTTTCCACATTCGCCCGTGACGTGGCAACTAGATTTGGTTGGCTCTGTCAGGTGGCGGAGGGTTATCATAAAACATTTGCATTGCACCTATTTGACGCTCTAATCCCCTACCCCACCAAAAAACACAATTTTTGTAAATCTTCGTCGTCTCCGTCAACTTTTGTCATCGCGACCATATCGATAATCATCATCATCATCCTCATCGTAGTCCTTTGACTATCTCCTCGCAGCGCTTGGCGTTCAGTCGCAGACGTTTGTAGTAGTGATTGGGACAAAGCCACAGAGTGACACGGCCCACAACTGCTAATCTGTATACACGTGTACGCCAAGCCTGGTGCATTAGCAACGGCTCCCTGTGTGTCCAGGGCCGTGTTAACCCTTAGGCTAAATAAGGCTTTAGAGCCTCATATTCTGTAGGCCCCTCCGTTCCACTTTCAAGTAACAGCTGAGTGACGGTCGCACGGCCATTGGAACATTTTTGGCTTTGAATGACGACGACACTATTCATGACTTTGCCACGGCAGCTAAAACCTAGGAAAAACATGTTTTTGTTTTTTGCAGAAATGAGCCAAACGAGTGTTTTTTTCTTTTTTTCAAATGTCTGAATTCCCCTCGAGTTAAATAATATGTAAATAAATGTTTCACCACCTAATAATAAAAAATATTTGTCATATGTAATGCATACTTAGGCCTTTCTCTCCTATTAGCCTTAAGCCCCTCGTAACCTTAATCCGGCCGTTCCGTGACTGCCACAAATATCCAGGTGTACTCACGGTTCGATTTGTGTCTCTACCCCCCCCCCCCCTCCTCCAGGTGTCTCCCACTCATCCACCAACCGGACGAGTGCCAGGGGGTGAGTACGTGGGTGTTCGAAAGCTCTGTACATTCCGTCAGCAACGAGCTCGGCTCCACGGTTTGGGCGAATTCTGTCTCCCCCCCCCCACCGCAGGTGGCGCGTGGCTCGCGGATTTCCACGACGCTCCGCTGACCGTGCTGCTGCGGCTGTTTTGTTCGTTTATCTGCTCTAGCCTCTGGAGACGAACGACCTGGCGAACAAGGAGAAGTTGATCTTCCTGGCTTACCTGTCTGTGGTCGTGACGACGTGTGGGGTAAGTGACAAGGGACCCGTTGATTGATCGTAAATAACGATGTCGACGCGCAGCGCATCGACGCGCAGTATCCGCCCGCTCTCGTAGAGGGAGACGGTGAGAACGAATCGGAGGAACGAGGAGGAACCACGGACGAGTGTGAAGGCGGATGAGTCGGCACTACCAACAATTGCCCAAGCTCTGTGCGGTCCTCCCATATGTTAAAATGTCACCGACCAATTCGTCAGTGGTTGGGAGGAAATTGAAGCACCCGCAGAAAACCCACGCGCGGCGAGGGCGGAAACACTCCATCCCACACGGGAATGGTGTAGTCCACACACTGGCTACGGCTACTCCTCGAGCACCCACGGGAAGGGAGTTTTGCCACTATCGTGAGGCTTTCTTGCAACTCCCGTGACCTCCACAACGTTGGGTCACAGTGAATGTCCCTTTATCAATTACAAGCCTACCCAACAGCCCCACATCGGAGGGGGGGGGGAGGTGGGGAAGGAGGGGCGGGGGGTGGCTGCTGAGCCCGCCTCCCTTCTACCCTTCTAAATTCTCATTAGCAGTAGACACCCTTGGTCAATCCACTGCTGGATGAACACTTCCCAAAGCTATCGCCACGTCTCATGCGATCCTTCAATTTAAGAGTCCGCCCAGCATCAGCTCAAGAGCCGATTATTCTATTAAAACATTTTTTTATATTTTTTTTTTAGTCACGTGAAAATCTGATGGTCGGACCTTTCCTCCCCCTCCCAGATGCTGTACTACCTGGTGCGGCGGGGGTACCGCGACATGTTCGAGCCCCAGAGCAGCACCGCGGCCGCCGCTATGGGCGCGTGTCCCACGGGGCGCTACTACCGCACGGTGGTCAAGAGCACGACGCTCTTCCAGGTGTCCCTCTTCCTGTGCTGGGTGCCAGGTTGGTCCCGACCCACGCTTTTACCCATCGGCGGCAGCAGCAGCAATGCTCAATCCACTAATGGTACGCGGGGGTCTGTGAGTGGGGCCCGCCCGTTGCTCGCACTGCTCTAGCGATGCGGCTCGTCCACGCGGCGCCTGCATGCGCGAGCGCCGATTCCCGGCTGCTCCGTCTCCTCGGCGGCCGTGCTTTCGCACGCGTTCCATTCCGTGGCTGCCACTCGACCGCTATTTTTGGCCGTCATCCCCTTCAAGCCAATGGCGGGCCGTGCCTGAGCCCCACTTATTGTGCTAACGTTTTGGATTGCCGCGAACCTTGCATGCATTCTCTAATCGGTGTGTTCCTCTTGCTGCCTCTCGGTGCATCTCCCCGCGTGCATCTCCCCGCGTGCATCTCCCCATGATCTTTGGTGCACTTTTGCAGTTTTTTGTTCAATTTTAACCTCCTGCTCAACTCGCATTATGTGGGCAGTGGGTGGGGCTACATGGGGGGTGGGGGCAACAATGGGAGGGGCTAGCCACTGGGTGGGCGTGGTCATGCACAAGTGGGCGTGTCTGGCGCAGCAAGGCGCTTGCCCCCCCCCCACTCTCGTCACGTGTCCCAATTGTTGACGTTTTTTTTGTTCTGACCCCTAAAAAACACCGTCGTCTGTTCCAGCGCTGGTGATCTGCATGGTTTCGTTCAATTCCGACGTGCCCCACAGATCCATGATCTACCTGCAGGTGGTGCAGGTAAGTCCCCCGCACAACCCGTCCCACGTCATGACACTTGAAATTGTGCCAATTATTTGTTTTTATCTTCGCCAAACCCCCCCCCCCCCCCCCCGTAACCGTTCGCAAATCCCCGCCATCGATTTTGCCGGCGGACGTGCTGTGCGCGCAGGCCTGTACACTGCCGCTCCAGGGCCTGCTGAACAGCGTGCTTTACGGCTGGCAGCGGCGCAGCTTCCGCAGCGCGGGCCCGGCGGAGGGAACGACGGCACTCCTGCAGCGTGAACCCGTGCGCTACCTCGCCCTGGCCAGCGCCACCTGATCACCGCCACTCCTGAAGAAAGATAGAGAGAGGCAGAGAGAGGGCCCAGGTGTGACGGGGGAGACTTGGGAGCTTTGGCAGTGCTGGGAGGTTGGGGGCAGACCCTCCGCCAAATGTTTGGTTCTTGCATTGCTGGGAATGTTTTGCGGAGTTGGCCGTTCCGTTGTGGCCAGGTGAACTGGGGTCCGGGGGTTTGGTCAAGAAACCGTCAACCATCGTCGTCCTTGTTATCGTCAAATGCGACCGCAAGCCTGGACTGTGGTGGACAACGAGCACTGGGGACTCGAACTCTGACGTTGTGTAAGGGGAAACCTGAACGAACACTTCGGGGGGGGGGGGGGGGCGCGGAGGGTGACGGGGGTGGAAGTGAATTTGACAAATACCTCGAGTCTCAAAGATTGAGGAGAAACCTAAGTCTCGGGAACGATGCGTCTCTGCCGCATCGCCAGGCTGGGCAAGTCCGCAACATCGGAAGCACGCTCTGTGAACACTTGAAAATGTTTTGTGACCATTGGTACAATCGTGATCGTGATGCGGCTCTTTTTCGTCCGTTGTGGTTTTTGGTACATCGACCGGTGACGACTGTAATTTGGACAGAAAATAATGGGTACATCTCGATCGATTTTTTTGTCAAGTAGAAATGCTCAAAAAATTCTGGCATGTCCAGATGTATGCGGACGAAGCGGATATTTGGCATCCATGCTGAGACGGTGACGATGAACAGGAAGGGATTTATTTATTTTTACCACATAAAGCTTTCGTGACTGCAGGAATTCTTATTCTTGGGTCTATCGGTAAAGTCACGTAGATAGGTTCAAAGTAAATAACAAAAAACTACGACGTTTCGATCGCAACACAAGCGTTCTTCCTGATGACGAATGCTTGTGTTGCGATCGAAACATCGTATTTTTTTGTTATTTTATTTGAACCTATCTACGTGACTTTACTGAAAGACCCAATAATTTTAGAAATATGACGTCAACAAAAACATCAAAAATTTGCTTAATCGGCTACAGTTGGAATAAGCCAATTAACAGGAGTGAATTCTAAGCAGTATTAGAATTAGTGTTTAAATGGTGATGATGATGGTTAATGTCGATGCTGCTTCTGACTCGGCACCTAGTGACCAAATAAACCCTGGATGCACGATCTAGTCCCATCTCGGAAGCTAAGCGGGAGTTGAGCCTCGTTACTACGAGGATGGGTGACTACGACCACCCACCACCACCACCAAGGCTTGCCAGGTGCTGTAGGTGTGTGGGGCTATCGGGTGTGGTCAGGAGACGGCATTGCCGAGTCTTCCTTCCTCGTGTGCAGGGGCGCTTGGGCTTTTATTTTACTTAGTCTGTGTTCTCCGGTTACCTCCTTCTGTGCGAAGCCAGACTCATGATTACTCATGGGATTGGCCAAATATTCCAATGCAGGACCCTCCTGAAATATAATCTTGAGACTCGGTGATGAGGCTTTCCGAGGTAAATGAAAACTGTATTGTGACTGTAATAAAGTTTTTTAATGTTCTGTGAACTGGTGAAATATCATACCGAGCCATTGTGTTGCTGTGTGGCTGTACCACTATCGGGAACGTCGGGCTGTGTTCGTGTCTGTCTTGTCTGCTGTTCACTTACAGCACTTGCCTCAAACAGCCTGTGAGCTATATTGGGGATCTTTGACTGATTAAAACCGGGAAGCGATTGTATTTGTTCTTCTTTGATTTTGCGCATGTGTGGTTGATGATGAGGTGTAATTTACTGTGCTGCGCTACAAACCGGGTTAGCCGAGTTCGATTCCCAATCGCAGCCTATGCCAGTGATTTATCTGAACCGTTCCTGGCCCTCCCCTAGGTCGAATGGGCCTCATAAGTACCTGGTGTATTGTGCGAATATCAAAACTCGGGAGACAAAGGCGGTCGGGCGTGGTGCTGGTCTAGCCACCCCCTCGTGTGCCGTGCTGGCCTTCATAGGTGCTCGCTTAACAGCATTTGCCCCGACAGTCTGTTAAGGCTGTACAGAGGGGATCTTTATATTTTTGATGGTCGAATAGCTGACGAGGTGTGCAGGCGGTGCAACTGCACCAGATCCCACGGGTCGGAGGGGTCCAGGTGCTGGGCTACCAAGAGGTGGGACATTGGACAAAGGGGGGTCCCTTTTTCATTCCATAAACCAGAAGCCCACGCCAACAACACTCGCCACCCAGACAAACAACAATCGTCTTTGCATTCATATGGCGTCGCTTAAATGCCTCGGCAACTCTATGTCACTATATGAGAATCGATTTTTTTTACCCTTTATGACAATAAAAGCAGGTGTTAAGATGTTAAAACACCAAACTGAAACCTTTTGCAACGAATCCTGTTTGCATTAACCACAGATACTTGTGGTGAACATGCAAAAAAACTGCTCTGGTCGTATATGATGCAGTGTCTTTGAAACTGATTTGGTCCACACCAGAGACGGCTTGCTTTCTTAGAGCCTAGTCTCAAACAGTGTTAGACTTACTCTTATATTTGTTTTAATCTATATCACTGTCTATCAAATCGCATATCAAACATTTGCAGAGGGTCTCCCCCAGGTGGCAGATGTCCCCGTGCGGCAGCAACAAGGCGACTCGGGCGGGGGTCATTCGTCTGCTGCCAGTAGAGCGCGCTCACTTCTGCTGTGTGCAACTCGATCGAAGCTCTGACTTGGACTCTTTGTACTTCTAAATTTTGATTTAAAGCTTTCGTGACTGCAGTAATTCATATTCTTAGTTTTTTCGGTTAAGTCACGGTTTACTTTCTAAAGTTTTTTTTTATTCGGCATTTTGAATGCAAAAAAAATAGGATTTAGATTGCCCGTGGTTTTAATTCGCATTTATCGTGGAATTACGCGCTGATTGAAAACTGTTCCCCCCCACCTCGGGCACGTGGGAGAGGGGGATTACTTTTCATAACGGGGGGTTCAGAATGGATGGGTGGGGGGGCATGAAGAGAACATTTACACAGTCAGAAAGAGGAACGCGTGGATTGGAGGATAACTTACGGCAATTCCTATTAGCTTGGAAGAGACATCGAGTGCGACCCTTCTCCCTATCCCTGGTCCCAGACCTGGGAGAGCATTCCGGACACAGGGGGGGAAGTCCTCACTATCGGCCAAAGTAATCCAGATTACTCGGGCGGTGGGGGGGGGGTGTTCCACACACTCAGGACTTGACCCGACCCTTGGGTTTTGCTCTCGTGTTCTGGAGATCATTGCGGAATTCTCGCGCCCACCTCTTCACCCTCCAACCGGCACCTCTTCCCCCCACCCTCCCTACTCCACCACGGAGCTGCCGCTCGTCCTCATCACGAGTTGAAGGCGACGCCGCACGTGGCTGCTGGAGTCCAGCACTGTGGAGGCAGCAGCGAGGACTGGTGGATCGCACGCCGCGTTTGTGAAACTGTCGTCCAGTGAGCGTCGAGGGTGGAGCTGTCTACACTGACTTGCCAGGTGAAGGTGATGCAGCACAAATGTGGACTCCGCCTGTTCCTTCTGCACGGTTGGGCGTTTCCCCCTCGTACGGTTTTGTTTGTGCGCTGCGATTTCTTCCCACATTAATGAATTGGTCGATGACATTTTATTATCTATAAAGAGGACGGCAGAGCTTGGACGAGCGGCCGGGCAGCTGCTACTGATGCTGCCCGACCGCTCGTCTGTGGCTCCTCCTTGCGCCTTTGCGTCGTCCCATCTTCGACAGCGAGCGGCGACAGCGGAGCATTTCAAGTTTACGCGATCATTATTACCTCCCCGATGCCAGCCGCCACCACCACCACCAACAACTCGAAACACTCAGCGCCACAACATCCAGCCGTGCAGATCAACAAAGTAAATTATTCACCGTCAATCCCAAAGCTCGCAGCAAGATCGTTGCCTGCTCGTGGCCACAGGGTGACGCTAGAGGCTAAGCCATCCCCGCCCCGATCCACCATCGCAAGCCGTTACACATTTGGCTTGCCTCGCCTCCTATCTCTCTGTCTGTCTCTCTCTCAGAGAGAGAGACAGACAGAGAGAGCTCTGGGCCATGCCCTTTCTCAAGGACGTCTGCGAACGTGGGCTTCCTTCCGTTTCGCTCTGTCGGTGATATTTACTCGATAACTTATCACCCAACACTGAATTGGATCCATAATAGAGGGTTGTTTTTTTTAATTAAGACTCAAAACAAGGAACATTTCTCCACAATGATGTCTGTCGCCTGTTGAGGCTGGTTCTAATTACCAGCGCAGCGTCGATCTCGAATTGTAATAGTTGTGGGTTTACTCTCCAACACACCGGCGTGCTGATCTAGTAACTCATTGGCGTGTTTTGCTTACGTGACAACCTTACGAATTGGCTGTGTCGGGTGGTGGCGGGTTTAACGACACATTTACGCGATTTAACACAAAAACAACCCTTCGTGCACTGTTCCGGCCTCAATAGATGCTCGCTAACAGCATTTGCCCCACTGTATTCTCTTCAATGCTCTGGAATCGGGGTGGGGATTATTGGACTTTGTGTATGTGTGAGTGGATGGTCAGGGCAAGGCACTATATGAACCCAGCGACCAGAATTCTATTCCCGGCCACGGATAACATCAGTGGCGAGTGATATCAGAATCGGTCCTGAGCTCCCTTGCCTTCACCAACACGCACTAACAAGTGTGGTAAAGTATGGTCAAGTGAAGCCCAAACGCGAGGAGATATTCATCTAGCAGTGGAATGACGACGAATTAAAATACTGTACTTACTGTGTGCGTGCGTACGTGTGGGAAGCGGGCTTGCTCCTAACCCGGCTTTCCCGAGTTCGATTCCCATTCATAGCCAACACCAGCACACTGTTATCTGAACCCGTCCTGGGCTTCCCCAAGGTATCTGGTGCGGGTGTGTAAACATCGTCACTAGGGAGACAAAGGCGGCCGGGATTAGCGTTGGCCACACCACCCCCACACTCGTGCGCCCTGTTGACCTTTAAGAGGTGCTCGTTGGCCCTTCAGAGGTTCTTGCCCCCCAAACAGCCTTTCCCAGCTACACGGAGGATATTTTTGCATTGTGTGTGCATTGTATGTAGTCCATATGAATGCATGCGAGTGTAAGGTCAACCTAGGTCACTCTCCTGGTCTCTCTAAGAGTCCTCAACGCGGTCTAAATAAATACATAAACGCTACCTCCAGTACGCGGGATTTTTGAAATCGTAAAATAAAATTATGAATCATTTTTTTGAGATGGTAATCATAGCAACAACGGCAGCAGCAGCAGCGACAACACGGACCGCTTGACCAGCCAGCGCATGGCTCTGCAACTAAGATAACAAGACGAGACATTTTTTTCGAATTCGGTACAAAACACCAAAATTTTAAGGCCCCCCTCCCACCGCCCATGCATGTGAATACATAACCACATAGACAAAACGTCACGAAGCAGTCTGTAAGCATGCGGCTTTGGAGCCGACAGGTTGCCGACCACTGAGCTTGCGTAAGCCACGTGCCCGGCACAATATATCACCAACAATAGTCGTGAACGATATAGCGACAATCATCCTGACTGTTGTTACTTTGTTCTGCCTGTGAGATGAGTGAATGGGGAGCGGTGGCGCAGTGGTCACCCACCCCCTCGTGTTCCGTGCCGGCCTTCATATATAGGTGCTACTCGCTAACAGCACTTTCCCCCAACATCCTGTCAAGCCTCTACGGGGGACCTTTGTCTTTGTTAGGGGGAGCGGTAGTGCAGCGGTTAACACGCACCGCTACGTGCCCGGCGACCTGAGTTCGATTATCGCTCACAGCCAACACCAGCGACGATTATCTGAAACGGAC